TTGCGTTGACTTGTTTTTATTCGTATGAGGACTATTTCGCCAGTGTAGTGCTCCAATAATAGAGATATCATGTCGCTGGATGTTGTAATGCTTCCTTAATAGAGCTTCAATGGACTTATCGTCGTTAAGGGTCAACAATGGACTACCCTTTGTGTTTATCTTTGCTTGTTCTCTTGATTTGAATCTGTCGACCGTGAAATTATGTCACCGTCTGTCTGATACAGATTGTGCAAACCTGCTATAGGTGAGTAAGCAATTAAAAAAAAGGAAACAACATCCCTTTGACAAAAACGCTTCACCGCCGGCTAAAAAGTTATCCATTAAAGCTTTGCTTCCTTCTTGTGAAAATAAAACTGTCCGTCGGTCTGTCTGCTCATCAACAATTCTAACGATTGTGGTTACAGTAGCCTAGCAATTTACGTAAACACACTGAAATGTGTTATGAATAAGTGCTACAGACAAATAACTGACGTATTTCATTTATACATTAAAAGAACTGACTGTTTTTTACTTACATACGATAACCATACTAACTTTCACTGTTCAGAATTTACGTAAAAAAAATATTATTCCACGGCCATCACCACACTCCCTTACCAAAAGTAAAAACTACGACGGCTCATACAAGAAATGAGACCGTGTTAGCATCAGACTTCGTATTAAATGACCGGCCGATTCTATTAGCTTGAAAATGCACGAATGAAGTTAAATTTATACAAAAGAAGGATGCTACCTTTTTACAAAAAAAAACAAACAAACGCGATTACGATAAGAATACAAACTTGCAGACGTCTGTTCAGGTTCTAGACGCTCTCCGAGAAAGTGGGTAGTGTACTGGTCACGATGAATAAGAAACAGGACACCTAAAAACGGTTTGGGAATAATAAAGTTCCTAAGGTGTCCAAATGCGAATACTTTGTAAATTACTCAACAATAAAGTATCACATACTAAAAATAATTAATCGCCAGTGGATGGCCTAATTTTGTGCACTAAATTTTGATACGTTTCGCTGATATCAACAACGCGACTTTTCCGGCAGCGTTTGACCGAAAAGAGACCGAATACTGTTGGCTGGCGCCGGAAAATACATAATGTACGTGGATACATTAAACAAATCAGATTTCGGGTTGGAAAAAAGTACTAGAAATACACCCTCGTTTTTCGTCTCTAATTCAGCTAAATTAAGTGAAAATGATTCTTAATTTACATTAAATTTTATTGTTGTAGTCACGAACAGGATCAATAGTTCTTTCAGAGGAAATTATTTTATTTTTCAAGATAATGACAATATCAATAATGTTTTGTTTCTTTTGAATAGCTAAAGCTGCATTGTGTGCCGCCAAAAAAGTCAACGTGACTCGCAAGTTTTAAGCCGATTCGAACGAAATTCACAATATAATCAATCTGAAGAATATAAAAGCATTACTAAGAATGTAATCTTCTTATCTGTTCATGCAAGTCCTTTTATAGACACGCGGAATGCTTATTTAATTCAAAGAAGTTTTGGGTTCTTTCTTATTAAATATTTGTAAGCAAACGAGACGTCTTGCCTTTTCGTCTGCAAACATTGTATCATCTAATTGGTGTAGTCTCTCTCTACTAGTGACATTACTACATTAAGTCGTTCCAATTAACCTTCTGCATTATTTACTACTGTTAAGTTTGCATACCCGCAACATCTCACAAAAGAAAAATGAATTTAAAGCTCAAAGCGCTCTAACTTTACTAGGTTTACGTTGTTACGTGTGGAAGGAGAATATAGAACGTACTCTATTAAGAGAGCTTATCATATCTGATTGCATTACAAAGTAATTCTGTGGTAGATACAATGCTCAGCTTGTGTTGTGTATTGATTGCAATACTGCGCAACTAATTTGATGAATGGAAAAATTGTTCCTAAATTGAATTTTGAGTCTAGCCGAGTCCTTAATCTAGTCACAATAAATTCTCTTCTCGGTCGTATCGATTGATAGGGCGACGTGCGCTCGCTTGTTCAAATTTACGAAAACAAATAGTTTGCTCACTTTTTAGATAAGGTGGAAAAACAAAAACTTCTACCGAAGCGAAAATACTCAAAACGTTGTAATCGTATATGGTAAAGCGATTCTTGTTTGCGCGTGATTAATTTTCTTTGCGACGATGTGCCTGTGAACAAGTCAAACATACGGTGTCGGTTTGTTTTGTAACAAATAGGGTCACAACGCTGTGGGAAAAAGTCGACTGCAACGTATCAGAGCAGAAATGAGAGCGCGTTATATCTTATTGTATTTTAAAGGTGTCTAGGTGACAGTTGAAAAAATATTCGCACATCGAATTCCGAGTCTAGACGGTCTTTAATCAAGCCGCAGTAAATCTTTTTCCCAATTGCATCGATTGGTCGTGCGACGTAGTGTGCGCTTGTTTGAATTTAAGAGAACATGGGAAGTCACTTGGAGATTTAGTGAAGCACTTAGAGAAAATCGCCAATTGAAGTTGTGAGTGATTATCTTAATAAGGAAGAAGTCGGCGTTTTTGACGGAATAAAAGTTTGACGGGGACTCGAAGCGACCAATAAAATCGAAATTTATCTAATAAAACTAAATCGCGATCTTAAGTTGGAATTCAATTTGATAAAAGCATTGTCTTGTTTTAATGAAATTCTTGAGTAATAAATCGCTCTTGGCGAGCTCTTTATTTTACACGGTAACGCTTCTAATTAAGTTGTCATTTAAAACTGATCAAAATCATGGAACCTAATGAATAATTGAGCGGATGAGTTAAAAATATTCTCACAGCGGTGATTTGCAAGTATTTTGAATATTTAATAGGATCTCAAATTTACTTCACTGTTGGGATCAATACCTGCGTTGACTCTCCTGCATACATGCTATGAAGTATTCTTCACGTAAATAAAATATGACGCAGACAGACCGTCTTCTTCAAATTGAATAGCAGATTTTACTCTTCGACCCTCTTTTCTAAATCATTATCTCAACCTTTACATTGAAAGCCATTGTTAGCCGCAGTGGCTCCCAATTGGTTTAGGGTTGCAAAGTTGCATGCACCTCAAAGGAAATAGTTAGGATAACTTTGCACAATCTTTATTGGAGAGCTCTAAATTTACATAACTGTGTCAAATATACACATCGTCTATTTTAAGCTGCCACCGAACATTTCCCATAAATCCTCCTTTTTTACAAACTTATAATTCAATCTTGATAAGGCGGAAACTGGCCCGAATGCTGACCGGATTTTTTTTCACCATACGGAATAATCTAAATTGCTAAGAATGTACAACACTTCACACTTAACCTTTCTGTTTTTCGGATGAAATATGTTGCAGACACACTGCGATACTCTCACGTACACGAATTTTGACACTTTCTTCCAGAATTGGATTGCTATGTTAATTAGTACATGCTGCACGCGCATATTCATTTAACGCCATTTGAAAGACATGATATAGTAAGCTGTTTGTACATTTGTTGTGTTCCACTATACGGGACGAAGGTGGGGATAGCACCAGCATTTGCTTTAGACACTCTATTCTTGCATTTAAGTGTTTTTAATACGTCCATTTTTTTTAATTCAATGTTTCTCATTAGTCTTTTATAAATTCCGAGTTCTAGCGTTCCGTTTAGTTATGTGTATACAGTGTAACATAATGTCTGGTTTTATTTGCTGATTGTTTTTTTATTATTCTTCCCTTAATGGATCCCAGAGGGAACATGACATTTGTGAAGCTTTACACCCTTATCTGGCAGAGTTACCACTTAGAAATTGGATTAAAAACCACGGAACGTAACAAAGACATCAAACAGAAGAAGGGGAAAGAGATTTCACAAATAGTAGTTAGGTCAATTAAGGGTGGATGGTCGATTCCGCAGATAGACATTCGGTCAAGACAATCATGCGTGAAAATCTCAATAGACTACTAAGGAAGATTGAAGGAAATCCTTAACAGTTTTAGTACCCTCAAGTGTGCTCTAAACAGTTCCTTGAATGTATTTTTATCCTTCATTATACATGCGCCTCACAGCGAGGTATTATTAGACTTATTAGCACAAGTGTCTTTTTTCTTGTGTAATTCAATCTACTTTATGTTTGAGTGTATTTCTATGGTGGTTTTATTAGTCACGAAGATGTACTTTCTGCATTAGGACCATAACCGGTTTTAAAGCTTGTAATAATCAAAGCGGGGCTTTTATGGTTTCCTGAAGAGCATTTAAAATGCGCTTTTTGCCACACCTATATAAACCGGGTTAATTGTACAGTAAAAAAGCATTCGGATGAAAACTAGCATTTGTTGAAAAGTAGTGGAAATGGAACTGAATAACGTATAAAGAATTGAAAAATAGCGTGAGTTATTCCAGTTTTATTACAAAGCTCGAAGTCCTCCTATCACATGATAAACGACTTTTGCAATTACGAAATTTTAATAAAAGCTAAAATATCGTGCCGCTGCATTTACATTTAGATTAACAATTTCTAATTACGTTTCTCGATCTCTTTCGATTTTATAAGTCGGAAAAACGACACTTTGTAACCGCTTACGCTTAATCTGTAAGCTGTCGTAAACTTTACCATGACATTCATAAAGAAAGGCTTATGAATGCTGAAGCGAAAGCTCAAAAGAGTGCAAAAACTTCAATTAGTTATAGGACTCTGACAGCTCCACTGTTGCCAACCTGCTTTAACAACTTCTTCTTGTCGAGCAGACATAAGGATGTGCTCCACACCCACATCCTCATTTTCATTCACATTAAAACGATGCTATGCATACATTTCTGACTTAGATGTGACGGTGTTGATCATTATCCTCTGACAAATAAATGCACTTCGCTTGGTAATCAACTGTGACACATCTAGGTTCATGCGCGTTCGTACTTAGAACTAGCTTATTTTTGCTTCACCTAATCAAATTTTGGGATTCGTTTATGCAGCGTATGTAGATGTATATAGTGGGGGTTCCGGTCACTTAGTTGTTTTCGAAAGTATTTGATTTGGGTGTTTGTTTCAGACGCGAAGCTCCGATAAGAAGATGAGTAGCCAAGACGAGACTGCTAGCCTGCTGGTAGCGCAACCATCACTGACTAGCACTTCTTCTCCAGCAAACTGTTCCAAGCCGGTGCTGATGCGCCAAGAATGCACGACATTCTTGGTGTCATCGCACCATCCTCAGCTTTCGGTGTTTTCTGACAGCGAGGAAGATGGTTCCCTTTGTTTGGAGGAGAACAGTACTAGGTCAGTGCCGGATATTGAACTTCACTGCAGGTAAGTGTAACCTGGCTCTCATGTCAAACTAAGTTAAATATTTACAAAGTAGTGAAACCTTCCGCTGATTTAAATAGCTTATTTCCTGGATAAAAACCTTGTTCCGCACAATAGAGCAGCAAAAGTTATTTCCATACAGAAACATAATCGACCTTAATCCTATTACTGAAAGGATGAAAAGTAAAACTGGACACAGCGAAATCGGTTCAAAGGAGTCGTAATCCCTACTCTACTAGTGGAGGGTGACTTAGTGGCCATTTTGAGAGAAATTAAATTGCAACTCATTTTCCGCCGGGATCGATAGCTTTCACGTGCTCGTGATTTGTTGCGAAACATCCAGAAGTGCGCGATCAAACTTACATTATGTAATGAGGATTGAATATTGACCATGTTCTTCGTGAGTTCCCTCTCGAGTGCCAGTCTCTAACAAGCACGGTGAGAGCCTACACATCTCCATCCACACAACCAAAATCTGCAAAGCTCAGGAACTACTACATAATTTATTAGTTTGCGTTCGTATCCTATAAAAGGAGCAAATGATACGAACGACGACACAATATCTTTCCTGCTACTCTAACTCAGCTTTGACCTAGAAATGATAATGTTTTCTCGACGCGTAGAAAAAACAACTTCGAGTCCAGTAGAACTTTTTTGCATTGAAATACACATTGTGACGCAACGATCACCTGTTAAACAGCACACGTGGAATTATGGACAATGCACGATATTCGCAAGTCGTACTTTTACGTCGTTTGATTTAATAACGCTCGCTTCGCTCATGTGACAGCACGCTTTGCGACGGGTTCAGATCTAATTCTCTTCTATTTTGTCGGAGTCAGATGGAAACTTTCAATTTGCATGCAGCTTACCGCTCGCAACAGAAAACATTAGTATTCCACTAGTTTGTTAAAGTTGAACTCGTTAGGATCTGCTCGTAGCAGTTCTTTGAACTGATCTACCGAAAAACTATATTTTGATATCAACAAAGGGATTATGTAAAGTAAAAATTTGGCACACGGAATCACGAATCTGAGTATTGAGGAAATGAAAGCGTAGACTGGTTTAAGGTCTCGATCCTGACTTTATGTAAAGGAAGTTGATTCCTCATTCGTTCCTACTACTCCCAGTTAAATCCGTAATCGTAAGTCTGTAAACCGAGGAACGTAAAAAAGCTAAGTAGTGTGTTTGAGGAACTAGTTATTTTAATGTAATCCTGGTCACGGCACCAAACGTGAAGTGACTAAAAAACGAAACAGTCAAGGAATCAAGTTTTACGCACACGGTTTCTACGATACAAGACGACAATCGTGACTGTGCTGACACTATTAAACTTTATAGTTTCTGACAGATACATATGAAGTTGTAAGATTGGCGGATGCGCCGGGTCATCCGTTAACGCACCACACACTTCGTTTAAAAAACAATCTGCTTTTCCAAATATTGGCTAAAGTTTAAAGTTGCGACCGAGAATTATTGCTGCTGCGAATCGCGTGCTCTCACAAAATTTTGTGAATCCAGTTGACGATAAGCCTCGGCGATGTTTATACACAAGAAAAATTGACTTTGTAGCGAAGTTTCGTTAAACATTTTTACGAAATCAAGGGCTCAAAAGTTAATAAGGTTTGTTTGCGTAGTGTGGAGAAAATATTGCGAAAGACTGCTGGTTTGCGAAACAGTAATAACAGCATTTCCGCTAAATTTTATCAACATCGCGTTTGCTCTTCCATTTTTGGGTTTATCTTAGCGAAAAGTGAAAATCCCGGCTTTTAAAGGATGATGTTCTTGATGAGCGCGTGTTTATTTAAAATAACGAAGTCGCCTCGGATTTATTTTTTGTAGGAGCGAAGCGAGCGGCGTTTGAAAAATTTTAAATTAGCAGAATTATAAATATGGCAATTGAATGTGTGTGATTTTGGTATTGTCGGTTTGCCAACTATGAAACCGATCGTTTCAAATTAACGAACTTCCAATAGGGGTTAAAATATTAATATGGTATCGCGAATGCAAAGTGTGTCTTGAATTTAGCAGCAGCTATTACCCAGTCCACCGCGAAGTTAGTCCATTAAACATGTCTGAACTGGAAGCGAGTTATGAGCAGGAATGGCATGCATTAACTAATATTAATTCCATATCTATGTTTGATGGTGGTTTATGGCGGTATTGATAGGCGAAAATTATCAATTCCTCTGGCGATGATTAATGCAGAGGTTACGACGTGAATATCAAAATTTTTGCCTCCGACTGTTTATCTTTTTCACGTTTTTATTAAAAATCTTCACTTCTACATCTTTAATGAAAATCTCCTAAGAGACTGCTTCACATCCTGTAGAATTCATTGGAGGCGCTTATATAATTCTGACGTCCTGTTATCTTTTACATTGTCCGCCTATAATACATTGTAGGGAAGTTTACTTTCTATTCCCCATCCCCAAAAAACTCTCCAAATAATTTGCAGCGGCTCGTGCAGACGTGAATTAATAAACCCAATTTTCACTCACGTGACGGACAATCTTAAACCGCTCTTAATTTTTCAATCGTTCTATACAACGGGCAAACTTAAAAAACCAATTAAATTTTTATAGCGAGTCAACAGCGGACTGTCATTTCGCCGCTATTTTCTTAAAACACTCGCAGTAAAGCACACTTTATAGGAATTTAATTACTGCATCAACGTCAACTGTCGAAGAGAGCCTCATTTTTTTTCCCGCATTAAAACGAACACGAAGATTCTCGAGAGTATAAAGTAGGATTAAATTCTGAACCTTATTGTCAGATGCAGGAAAGAAAATAATTAAGTTATTGAAAATTTTGTGAGCCGTAAAGACGCCGTATGCCGCTTATTTTCCTCTCGTTAATATAAACTTAAGACCAGGACACCACAATGTGTATTAAAAATGCAAAAGTCTGCCTCTCTATTACCATTCCGGATACGACTTCCCGCCATAATCAAATTTAGTTTTACACCGAATTCTCTTTTAATAGGAGGCGCGTGACACACTCTTACGGCCATTTTTTTACCAACAGTAGCACCAGCGAAACCGGTCGATGACGCCCAAGAGGCCGAATCGACGTTGCCGCCAATTCCACAAAATATACAACACTCTTCTAATTCTACACATACTTCGTATTAGAGCGCCTCCGTTTGTTCTATTTTGGGACAAAGCTGATTAAAAATGGAGGCCGTAAATTCTCCGCTCGAAAAAAATTTAAGACGAGACCACACTACATCAAGGGCCTGGATTTTAGAGATATAGAACGCGCATAAGCTTAACAAACTTTATAGCTTTTTAATCTCACTTCTTACAATCTCGTTCTAAGCCTGTGTTTTTATTTTTTGGGGATTAAAATTAAATTTTCGTTATATAACTGCATTTTATTAAAACACGGCACTCACAACTTATTACCGGGATCACGAAACTTCCAACAATTTCAAATAATTCGGGTTTTAGTTAAGACGGAGCACAGAACAATGTACGCACAATCATTCGAATTCATGACGTCACAGTACAGAAATGAGCTCGCTGCCGTCACACTACACCGGCAGATTTACGGCAAAAATATAGGACAACACAAACTTAGCTAATTTGAAGAACCCTTGTCTAGCGCATCATACTGATGCAGTTGCACGATCGCGCCATTTATACGCTCCAAGAACCCCAGCACGTTGACAAACTACAGAACCAGAATTAGGTCGCAATCATACGTCTAGTCTCGTAGAGACCGTTTGCACGTGGAGAGAACAAAACCAATTATAGCCAAGAAAGTTATCTAGTGTGAAAATCGCTTACCTCAACTCTTCGAGGAAAAATCTCCAACCTACATTCGACTGCGTGCAGGTAAATCAAACTATTTGATGGGAGAAATAGCACCTTAGACGTGAGTCTAGTTTCAATTACTCTTCGAGGAATTTCCTTACAGCAGATTAACATTTGAATACGCATCTAATTATGTGGCGATTGTGCGTTTCTCCCACACGATTGCCCGCTAAAATGTCCAAAGATACACTCCATTACACGGAGGATTGCGTCGCGATGCTGTGGGAAAAATCAAGAACGATGGATGGAAGTTTTGACAGTCGGAAGAGAATAAGGGAAGGAGGAAATTCATTCTTAAAATCAAATAGGGGCGTAACGTTAATATCCGAGTCCAGAATGCAACGTTATGCAAAATATTTCTCATAACTTCGTGATGTAGCGGTGTTTGCTGGAGACTTAATCATGGTTGCGCACTTCTGCCGGACTCTGTTTAATGTCAGGGATTAGTAGTAAATCTAGCTTCACGTCCGCCCGCACGTAGGCTTCTATAACTTCCTGTTGTTGTGTTTTATGTTAATCAGAGATTTCCGAATTAGGGTTCGAGTCTGCGGCGCGGTTCTAATTTAGTTTAATTTTGCAAGAGCGCCATGTAAATGTAATACCGTCTCGAATCCAGAGTGACAGAAGATCAGACATTGATCTCTTTAATTGACGAGGGTAATTGTGATTTTCCGTTTACGGGTTGAACGTCACATTGATGTAACACGAAGTCAATTGTTCCAGGCTCGACGTGAAAGGATGCAAGCAGAATTTGTCGTCAAACATCCCGACGAGAAACAGGAGTTCATCTAATGCATTTCAGCTTGCTCCCTACACGTCATCACCGCGGGGCATATTGGAACGACGAACGTCTCAGACACCGGCGTCGACCTTGAAAATCGTGCGCTCGGTGTCGAGAGAGAGCGTACGATCCATTCACCATTGTACTTGTCCGTGCCTCAACGCGCCGGTAAGATAGATATCTGTTTAGATGCTTTGTTCTTGCCCTTACAAGATTCTAGTGCCTAACTCGCGAACGGAATGTGCCCGGCATGTCTAACCTATACATTACACGTTTTGTTTCTCGATTGTTTCGTCGGCAGCACACTGTCAACAGGAGACAAATGATATCAGCGTCCACTGCAAAACCGGGCAACACCACTATGTGCCCTCTAAACTCACTCAATAAGCGACAAGACGCTTATTAACCGACACGGAACATTGCCACAACACAGAAACATGCAGTCATCTATTTCAAATCTTATTAATATTACTTAATCCATGTGGGCTGATGTACGTGCTGTGTATCAGATGCGGTAAGACAACACCACAACAAAGTTTTCCTCGTGCGGCTTACCCTTACGCGTAAGCGGTTGTATGCGGTAGAGCCGCTACCGCTTACGCGTTACGCGGCACAGAAAAACATGACTTAAACATGTTTGCAGCCAGCATCTTCTCGAGTCTGTTTCAAACCACCGTAAAATTTTCACCCATGACGCGTAAGCTGTGTGCGCGAACAACGCCACTTTTGCTCAGTACTTCACGCGGTATACAAAAGTAAACAACTCAAACGTATTTGTTTTAATTCATTTGTGTAGATGTGTGTGTTGTGCATTGGGTACGAACATAGTTTTAGTCGCTCAGTTTGCCCATCGTGTGACGCATGATGCGTCGCCACAGCACGGAAGAATAAATATTATGACTCGACGTATTTGCATCTTCGGTTTGTTACCCTGCAGCACATAGTTGAAAATAGATGAAGGCATATGTTGATCGGTCGATGACGGTTTCGCGGTGTGGTTCGCTGAAGTCGTGCCCTTTTTTTTACGAATTGAGAAATGTGTTGCCATAAGCCGCATGCCACGAACAGACGATTTTTAAGTTCTGCGGACTAGATAGCCAGGTCTGGAAGTGGCTCGGCCACAAACGAAGAGGCTTGGAGTGCGCTTAATTATTCAGAGAGGTCCATATTCCTAACTTGACAAACTTTCCTTATTAAAGTTGAGTAGAATTTTCCCCTACTATGATCTTACTTTCTAACGCATCATAACGTTTGAAAAATTCACACTAATTGCTCTCGGAGTTTTGTAGAAAACCGTCGGACCAGGAAATAGGGTTGTTTGGTCCAGGTCCAAATAAACGTGAAACAATTATCTGCAACGAAAGCTAAATTGACTCGCGAAGAGGTCGCCGAACGTGTTGGCACGCAACGAATTTTTGCCGACGTTTTAAATTAAACCCCTAAACAACTCGTCTAATACCACTTCTAGTAAAGTCTAAAATTAAACGACATCAATAACGTAAGACTGCCACACTTAAATTAGCGCCTACATGGCGAACTAATAAAATAATCATCTTCGAAACACCAAACTTGGCGGGAACTCTCGCTTACGGACTAATTTATGGATGGGTACAAAAACAAAACCGAACCGCTTTCTATTGAAAACAGTTTGGGGAAAACTACTAAATTATCTCGCATCAAACTTGCACTACTTGAGCGACTCTATATGAAATAACTGAGATAACTATGATTAACGCGCCCCTGTCCCTCCATTAATCTGTTTTCAATTTGCTTCAACAACAGTTGGCAAATTTGGACGGATTTGAGCGGGGGCGACGAGACGGCGGAAGGTCGAACAATCCTTATAAGATAATTAGCCCACTTCTAATTATGTACACGAATTAATTTACTGCAATTTTTAATTCCATTCAAAACGTGTAATTTGAAGAATGCAGCGTTGCGAAAGAATTTTTGAGATAATTAAATAACGGAAAAAACAAATTTACTTTACAAAAATAATTAAAAAACGACAATATGCTTAATTGTGAGAGAGGAAATTGTGTTGCAGGGTTAATATTAAGATAAAAGTGGGTTTTTATATTTTTGTTTAGTACTTGGAAGCTTTAAAATAAGAAATTAAAAACTTTGTACATGAACTCAGTTTAGCCTGAAAATAGCGCCGCATTACTAGGAGAGAATATTTTAATTTGATCCTGGTTGCGGCACCAACCGTGCACGTGTTAAAAAATAAGAAATTTATGTGACCGATACTTACTCTGCGCGCCGGGATACCTTTTAATTATTGACGAAATTAAACTAAAAAACAATGTTTTAACTAAATATTGCCAAAATAAAATTTTATAGTCATGTCGGAACCACAATTATCTGTTTGAGGAAACAGTTTTTGTCATTACAGATAAAAAAGAAACAGTAACAGAACTAACATAAAGTATTTAAACGTTATCCTGGTCACGGCACCAACCGTGTAGTCATTTGACAACGAGAAATGCAAAAGGTCAACTTTGTTTTTGTGTTTAGCCCACATTATAGTTATTGATTCTAGTTTAATTAAAAACAGAACAAGTTTCTTTGATAAGCCCGGATATTAAAACTGTATCCTGGTCCCGGCACCAAATGTAAGATAAATAAAAAAATTGAGCAGCAACCTTTTGCTTTTTTGCGCACATTGTTGTCAATTATTCAGATGTGACTTGAAAAATGCATCAATAACACACATTAAAGTGGAGCAAAAAGATGATCCAATCATTTACACCGAATATTTTAACTGTATACTGGTCTCGGCGCCAAGTGCTAAAAGCCATTAAGGGAAATTGAACGATTGAAGGAATCTATCACATCGTGGATTGTGTAAAAGCAATTTCTGCGGTGTCTGCACTTCTAGGCTTTGTAACTCCAAAACTCATTAGTCTAGTGTATTAAAAATACCAGAACTTCATTCCACTCAGAACTTTATCAATTAAAACAAATTTCGCCTAAACAATGTGAAACAATAAATCGATTAGGTTGTGGCGGTGCAGTAATAGCAAACTTGTCAAAACGAAAGTCGATGGGTTCCGGTATAGCCAACGCTACTTTGGGTTTGGGGCTATCAAATTTGAATGTGGCGTTAATGGTCGTGAAAAATTTGTATCTGTTGTGGTCGCATTACAGATCGCTCGTTGCACGCTATCGTGTCCTAATCCCCTGCCGGGAGCACAAATTGTAATTGATGAAATATTGAAAAAAGGCTGGTAAAAAATTGGTCTGTCGAAAATGCCCGGTTCGGGGGCGAACGATCCGGAATAGTTGTTTACTCACAACTATAAAGCAATAACTAGTTTTTTGTAAAGTTGGGGTCGTCGTAAAGTTTGCGAGTGAAGACACTCAGCGAAATGGTTTCCTGGGGTATCCTAACATTCATCAATATGTCTCTGCAGATTTATACTCTGACGCCTAAGCTCGTAATCTCATATCGTCTTGACACGATTTTGACGCTTCTTGCTTTGCTTGGTTGAACATATGCGTTAATGTTATTTAAAGTGTGAGGGTTGATAAAATTTGTTTTGAAACGTTTGTTGAATGCAAACCGCATTCACTACAGCCGAGTAAATCTTGTTAAAGTAAAATTATTTGCGTAGGCGTGACGGCGATACAAAAGATTCGAAGTAAGTGGTGCGGGGAGGAAGCCTTAAAGTTAGTTTTCTACAATAAGTCTCCATTGGATCATGTTTCTTCGTTACTAAAGTGTAAAAAGTGACGTTTATGTTGTATTACAATTCAAATGCCGCGCTCTCCGAAGTTGAAATATTTGAGGGTAAGACCATTACTAAAAATAAAATCAAAACGACAATAATTACGAAAAAGAGTTATGGCCTGACGTCCTGCTTCTACCGGATTCGGCCAGAATTTATGCTCTCATCTTAGAGGTCAAATGTTCAACAACGTCATTTGCCGCTATAAATTTTACAGCAACTATAATTCTCTACCATTCGCAGGCAGACTGCGCAGCATTGTATTTTACTGTCATTGTACTTTTATAATAAAAAAATTTGGTTCGACGACCCGACTCGTGAAACCAACACATAAATAACTCATTTAATACCCCCTAGTAAATAAAACAATTCCATTTTTTTATTACACTCACCCTGTATAACACTTTATTTTCGTATCACAAGCTCCATTACATTTTTATTTTTACATTCATCCTAACTTCCAATTACGACAAGAGTTGTATTTACTGTAATAGCGCTTTTATATACTTATTGTATCGTATTTTGCGCAACATCTAATCCCTAAGATTTCCGTCTTATATACCCACTTAAAAACTCACCAAAATTCGATATTGCAAGTAGGAGCGTCTAAACGTATTTTTTTTCCAGGAACAATCTCGCCCCTATCCTAATGTGCATTAAGAGCTAAAGTCACACTCTAATTCAACCAGTTTTATCGAAACAAATCTTTAAAAATGGCGGATGCGCCGGGTTTTTCTCGTAATCCTTCCAATAAAATACAATGGAGTAGAATAAGGAAGAGAATTCCTGATGACGAACAATTGTTAGAAAACCGTCCGCCCTAATAAAATTTGGCTATCTCGAATAATGCCCTTTTACGTAGTAATATGGCCAGGCCGCTCGGGAAAGATACCCCAATATGCAATAATCAAAGGGATTTAGAAAAAAAAGCTTAGATATACGGACGCACAGGGTGCATTTAAACCTTTGTTGACCGAATGCCACATCTCTCAATGCTTATTGCACAATTTCGAGCACCTATTTAAGCACTAAAACCACTATTTTTCAACGTTACTTTTTCGCACCACTTCTCATCTTACTTTACCAAATCGAAACTTAAAAGGTTCGAAACCCTGCCGTCTGCATTTTCATTAGTGCGTGTTTAAAATGAAGACATTTTTAACCCCCAAAATGGTCAGCTTACCCGGGATTAAAATTTATTGCATGTGGGTCTAAAAAAACATCCCAAATTTATTCTTAAACTGCGATCGTTTTTTACAGCACCCCTGTTAAAACTTTAACAACACAAACTTAGCTCGTTTCTTGAAAGTTCGCTGCAATTTTTAATTTGATTCTTTTTTTCAAACTCTCCTCCATATACCCGAGTCTGAATTTAGTACAGTATTCAAGATAATGTTTAAAACATGTGCTGTTTTTAGTGGGTACTAGGATTGTATTTGTGTAATATAGATGTAACAGAGGGATGGATGTTATTATAGATTATAACCTAACTGTTCTTGTTAAAAATTGATATGTAGTATCCTTGTATATAATTTTAGTGTACTCAAATTGTTACTGTTACGCTTCACAGATCACCGCATTTTCAAAACTCTCACCGCATTTGCATGTTAAAGTTAAAATTCTCAAGCACTGTAAATAATATTAATAAATACTGGATAGCATATTAATGTTTGTAAATAGTCAAGTGTGTGGTTCTTTTACAAGTAGAAGTTACTTGTAAAAGGGCTAAGTACATGTGTGTTATTGTAAATAATAAGTTAAATAAATAACTAAAATAACTCTGATCGATGTAGATAACATCAGCGGTGGACTAACGCTAGCGTCGATTATATGTCGATGTGTTTAATCGTTTACCGTTATAGCGATTATATTTGTATCAATTATAGTATGGGTTATATGCTAGGTATCGTTGATCAATGAAAAACTATCATCAAGTTTATCGATTATATCGCGATCTTTATTACGTGGTTCATAATGATTACTTCATGTTGATTGTACAAATAACTGAGTATTAAACGTAGTTTACGTTGATTATGTCGCTATTCTTTCAAAACTCTTTTATCGTGTCCGTTGTATAGTTTTCAACCGTCGTTGTTAAAAGTTTTATCGTAATCGTTTAGGTATAAGTTTATCGATTCTATCGATTATAACTCGGTTCGGGTTAAATAATGATGTTTGACGTCAGAGGTCTTATGTTCACGACGACTATATATGTATGCTTACCATCGTTTATATACATAAAGAACTGACAGTTCTTTGATTATACCACTATCGTCCAGAATAACAGGTTTTATCGATGTTCGTTCGTCGATAAAACCGGTCGATTGTGACGTAGTACGTAAGTCCACCGCTGACCGCTAGTGCTTCAGTGTACGTCCATTTCAGCGTCTTCACTAACCCTTGCACTGTGCCCGTACTGAACTCGTAGATGTCACACTTCTCTTTCCTCTGTCTGTCTATTACCAATTCCACATAACGAAATTGGTGTTGGGTGTGGGAAAGAAGCGAAAATGATAGCACTTGGGTGGTGATTTCCAGGTATCATGCAGTTCATGTCCAGTAGCACCACCATCAGTTGTGACGACTCTGCCCGGCTCGAGGATAATTCGTCAAAGTTCGCAACCTGAAGCCTCAGCACCGTGTTGTGGCTCCAGTTGTGTGCATGGTACCGCCCCCTCCACGTCCCTCAGGCAGCTGCGGGACCATGGTGAAGGCGGCATCGCGGGAATTGCGGCGGACTCGCTCCGGATCAACGGCGCGATGCGGAATTTCCGCCAGGTATGAAGCGTGAATATGTTTCCTCGACCTTATTGCAACATCGACCCTCTTTCACGCCAAGAGGGGGATTAAAACAACTTGCAGCCGCTTCTCTAATTCTTTAGATCGATAACACTAATGCTATGAAGACGCGCAAGTTAACATAAACGATCTACGCGCGGCAAGTTCGGGCTGGAGCTGCTCGAATCGACGAGTACAATCGACTGTCGATTAAATAATGTCATCGACGTAGCATACACGAAACAATAGCTTAAATTGTTGGTTCAAATAAAATCGATTATATTGGACGGCGATTAAATAATATAATCGACTACTGGCATGAACTACGTCTTACGATTGCTAAACAATGTAAACAGAGTTAGTACTTTTGAAAACAAGAAACTGTGTAATCGATAAGATAGTATAATCGATTTATGCAAGATCAGACAAAAATATACAAGGTCACCGAAAAAGAATTAATAATGTTAAAAACAACGTTTCGTCGATAGAATTTGTAATAGATTTGTTGAGATCGACAAAGGCAAATGCCACATTTTTTAGATTCTAGACAATCCCAGTAACAACAAGAAAATTACAAAATCCACCAAAATTATTATCCCAAAAATACGATTGTCGATTAAAGGCTTTACAAAAACATCGACACAACAAATTCGTCGATTAAATAATGTCATAAACGTGTCATTATAATACAGTTTTATTCCAATATTCCAAATGTAATAGACGTTAAAATTTTAATGACCGTAGGACAATATAATCGATTTATATAACATTCTATTCAAAAGATAAAATAATTTGTTACTTAATCTGCAATATATTGCGGCAGCACTAGTGATTTTACAGAACTGTTAAATCATTGAAAAGCCTGGCAAAGAAGTATAATCCATACCATAAAATATCTCGTAGAATACCATCGATTAAATCTACATGTGAGCGACGTATTATTTATTATTTGGATAATTTATGTGCTTAAATTCACAGAGTCGAAAGCAGGAGAAGTATAATTTTAGAAAATTTGAGGACAATATAAATCTTTGTGTTAAGTTTTAATTATTTTTAGCAAGCAATCAAAACCTCCCTCTCTAGGTCCTGAAGCAACAGCAACGTTTTATTACAAAATATTTGAACTCCAACTTGCTGAGAAGAATTAATTTAAATTTCTTATAACCACTCCGAAGATGTACGTACGTTTATAATTTAATAACAAAGTTCTAAATTTCGACTTTTAAGTGATAAAATTTGCTAAACATAATTTTTTTATCCAGCTCGGAGGAAAATCCGTTCTGGTTGTCACGTTTGTGCGAAAGTTTGGCGCACAAGAGATAAAAAATGGTATGACAGTTATAATAATTGCGCTTTTTACTTCTCTTTGTTCTTTCAACCATGCGTTCTGCTACATGGAAAATTTATTTTAATTTAACGGGCGAAGTAAATAGAAAACAAAATTTTACGTGCGGAAAATTATGATGCTCTCTCTCAAAGTTTAATTTTTACTTGCAAGGAAACCATGAATTTTTTAGTTCGCAAGTCGGCGACACGTTCCAGGACATAATTTAAAACACACTACTTTTACATGCTCGTTACATGTTTTAAAAATACACGTCGTGTCCACGTCCACGACTAATTTCATTTCTTGTTACACGGAAATTTTTCTCTCTGTGTGTAATTTCATTCCGAAATAACTAACAAGTTTAAAAATCTGCGGCGTATTTCACAAAACATGTCTTCTACATATTTCGGGCGAATAAAATTACGGCAGACTAAATTATTTGCTTTACTTGAAGTGGTAGACGAATTTACCGGTCACGTTCGGTGTGACCTTGGAGTGAAGTAGTAAGGATGCCTTATAAAGTAGTGGGGGAAGGCCCCCTTTCTACTTTCGGTCCCACGATCCATGGTTGGACTTAAATGAGAAAGCAAACTCGATTCAAGTCAGTTTGCGTTGCTCTGATTAAGTCTTTTGAAGCTGATAATCAAAATATTGGAAGTTTTAAGAGGCTCGGAGTGTTTGAATCTGAATATTTAATTACAAACTCGATTTATTTTTATAACGTTTCAAATATATTTCGCGCCTTTGATGCATTATTGGAATATATGTGAAAGAAAACTAGATTGTGTCTTCTTCGGACGGAATTGAGTGTTTCAATATCTTGTTTTGGAGTTATTCGAGCGTCGAGATCCGTTTATTCTCCTTTTGCGTCCGACGGGATATTTATGTCGAAAAATTAAAAAGAAATTTCGAACACTGGACAATGAAGATATATTTATAGAAGAGTAGGAAAACTGGCGCTGGAATAAGTCACATCGTGGATATATTTGCATGTGGTGCCAGCAGAGGTACTTTAAAATAATTGAAGAGGGTATAAGTTTCAAAACAGAAGAATAGAGCATGGACTGAATTACGACTTTTCTCTTTCAAACTTTTGTTCGAGTATTGATTAGAACTGTTAAAAATGTGGAATTCTTCTTGGACATTAAACTGTTTGTACGCGACGCCCTTTCCGATTTGTAAACATCTTATTAAAGTTATTGTGTTAGTGCTTCCACGTTGGCGCACGTCCAAATGGTCGGTTCTGTTTACCTCAACAAAAACTTTGACAGATAAAAATCTACAAAGACGTATTTATCGCATAATTGTTATAATCACCTTCTTGCACATAAATTTCAATAAAACGCATTCTCGTTACTAGCGAGTTTAGACAGTGATGAATGTTTCGAGTTTGTTTAAAAAACAACGCTAATGAATTGTTTGCCTATAGAGGCTACCGATGGTGCTAACACATTAGCAAAATGTGTAGACCTTAATCCAATCGAACTGACAAAGACTACAAATTTATCACAGATTTTCACATTGTGCCGTCACAACAGAGATATTTATCACATAGACAACTTTCATTCTTTGATAAGCATAGATCTTGTCTTCCAGCGCCGCTTTTCTTTTCTCATTATGACCCTTACAGATTGGTTCTATTAAGCTAACGTGTACATAATTTCAGCCAACAAAAACGGCACATCTGGGCAAAATAGAAGCAAACAAAACACAAATCGGCAACGAACAATATTATATCAATAATTGTCAGCTTAAATGAAAAGCGTTTCATGGTAAAATCGTTTCACAATTCAAATTAATGCTGACATTCCGCCAAACGCTCACTCCGTGGTGCCTCTATTATACACACCAGGGAAATTTAGACATCGTTTGCCTCTGAACCCACACTGCACATTTTGAACTGATTCGCGTTAATTTAATTTGAGTTATACAGGGTGACTGTACTTCAAACATAAAACCTAACCGAAGCAAGTTTGTCGAATACAATAAAACACCTGCTTGATTCATCAACTATTTTGTGTCAACAAGGTACAGCGAGGGGAATTTAACTTATACTCTGTAGGTCTGGCGACATTCTACGTTACGTTAAGTGCTCCAACTCTGCTTGAATGGAGTGGTTGGGTTAATTTGGTGTTTCAAGCTCGCTAGTGAGGTATCAGATAACCGCGACTGACCTTACATCAATAAATCCAAACTTGCACCGACTAATTGCGATCAAACATCAAAGCCAAACTGAGGAGCTCGTCAATTCTTTATTCTTTTTGTGCCAGTGCTCAAACAATTAAAACTACTTACAAGTTGTTAGTTCTTTCAGTTGCTGCTTGCAATAACGAGGATCGATGACGTCACACGGAAAAAACGAGTTCATCATTTGGTTTGTTAGTTCGAAGACAGGAAGAATATGAAAAGTGACCACTAGACGATTGAGAATTAACACTGTAAGAAAACGTCATTCAATAAAACGACGCTCGACCGCATAAATCTCGGTATTGTTATTAAAGTTCATACAATTTTACAACTTTTTTGATTCCACGATACTCCGGAGAACTTCAGCCGTGCGTTCTTTACTCGGTGTCGTCTGCGTTTATCTTCGAATTCACACACCGTGGTTCGCATGCATAAAGCCTTTTTTCGATGTCTAGCCTCACTCTCGTGCGAGAACATTTCAAATGCATCTACGACTAGGCTTTGATTGAGCCGTACTTCCAACGTTGGCAGTCTCGAACACGTCACTGCGTTTTTCTAATCAATAAACAGATTCCAGTATGAAAAAAAAATCCAAAGAACGAAGAAAACGAAGCTCTTACCTCTTAAGACGAGGACGCGGGACGATTGTCAGTCGTGTGTACGTTTTCTGCGTAAGCGGTAAAAATCTACCGCTTACGTATTTATCGCACGTGTGGTGATTTAAACGCCACTTTTAACTGGTGACTGGAAAGTTGGGACAAAATATGTTTTAATATAAACAATAAGTTTATGTTTTAAATGGTCGCAGACCTTCTGGTTCCGGGGAGATAAGAGTTCTTATCATAAGTAACAAATTTAGTCTGTGAATGCGAAAAGGCAGAAAGTTGTTCGCTCGTTCCTTCAATAAAATGTACGTGATGCAATCTGTGCAAACCTCAGAACAAAATTTTGTTCAGGAAAGACTTCAAAGGATTCCGGTGCAGCGTAACGTTTAGAATGACCGCTAAATATTTAATATAGCAAATGGATGTTGGAAGTTTCTGAAAAACGAATGCTTTGTGGTTTGGAAACGTCAACGAGTTTGTGTAACTCTGCAGTTCCAATCAATTTAAATTCAATTCACTTTCGAGATTTAAAAGTAAATAAGATTTTCATTAGAGTAGCCTGAGTTTGGGTTACATTTTGCATCTCGCTTTAAAATGGGGTCGACCAAGCTGGAATATGCTTCCGACATTTTATATACTTAAAAAGGTTAACGTTCAGTGTTTTTATGAGGGAGTTTTGGTGCGTTTTACTTTTATTAAGTTATATAAAGGTCTTTGTAAGAGGATGAAAGTTTGTTGTAGTTGTTACAAGTCGGAAAATGATGTTTTAAGTAAACGCTAATTAAAATAGGACTGGGGTACATCAGTGTCAGCAATCGAGATAATTTCGTCAGAAGCTTAAGCCACCACTCGAAGTTGCATGAGAGTTCCCGCAGAACTTACGACAACTTTTGAATTGGAATGCGAAATCGATACTATGGAATGCCAACGAGTGGCTGACCTCTTTGTCATAGTGCAGAAAGAAACAAATTATTCGACTTTTTCGAAACAAATCCGCGCTACCTCAACTCTGCGAAAGTTGTATCAAATCTCGGGGCATGTCTTGTGGCAAAACATCGCTCTTTTAAAAAGCTTATTCCGCATCCCACGATCACAATCTGTTGCGATTTTGGAAAACAATAATCTTCGACTGATGAGCAATAAATAAAACCGCGCTTCGAACGGAGTAAAAATACGTCTTGTCTTTTTCAACAAAAGAGAGTGTTAGTCTAGCCAGTGGAGCGTAACTTCCCTCTCTCTCTCCGACAATAAACTTTCTCTGTTTAACTCGTTGCTATTACGCGTTCAACGGCCTTTCTAATTTACGGCGACGATACAAACAGAAGTTTTGTCAAAAAATTGGGGTGATGGATGAAAATGTGACCATTGTGTCCATAAAATGATGGACCCTTATCTTGCCCTCGGTACGAACAACAGTTTCAGGGGAAAAAAAACGCGAAGTTGAGCGAGAAGGGTTATCTTTATAGCGAGTGTATCGAGGGGGGTTTATCTTTGAATTATTTCATCTAGTGGGTTTGGGATCATGGTTTTGAATTAATTGGACGCGGCTTTGTTTCTCCCTTATCTCTTTTTCAGAATCGAGAGAGAAGCAAAGCGCGCTACCGTCAATTTTTTTATTTTGTTTTGAATTATTGATTGACAAGTAGCGTGTTTGTTTGAATGTTTCAACGAGGTGTGAGTGATTTCGTAAGATGAGACGTGCAATCCCATAATGTGGTCCTACGCAGGGTTCAGGGATGCTGTCGTCCTCTCAGACCATGGCGCAAGCGCGCCGAACACGACTCAAGCGCGCTCTTACAGAAGTAACCAGCGATACTGTGTCCTATGTGAAAACGGTGGGCTCATCAACTAGAGTCCTTTTGACTTTACAGCTCGAAAGTTTAAGCTTTTTTCACTTAACCTCAAACCAAATGAGCCCGCTCCGTTCTCGCGGCAACTAAAATGATGTGTTTGTTTCGAAAGACTGCCGCTATCACACACTGCAGTTTGAATTTTTCGCAGGAATGTGTCAAATGAGCAGGTAAACACCATTTAAATCATATTCGCGCCATATTCCCGTCATCCCGCCGCTTTTCAAACGTTTCAACTGCGAACACGCTGTCAGCACAGACGACCCAAAAATAAAATAAAAGCGCGGAAATTTGTGATTCCGTTTTTGCAATAATTAATGCAAATCCGCGAATCGTGTTAATACGGTGAAAAGAGCGCCGATGGCGTAGGTTTCGGTTAATTTTACCCTCAATTAAATGACCGAATCGATTTGCGTTTAACGAATTTCCATTCAGTAGTTTTTCCATAATCCGAGCATAAAACGGACCATCAGCCGGCCGTGTTTTGTTTTATGGAAGTGCGTAAAATAAGTACTTGGGAAAATTCCCGCCAAGTATTAACAACTAATTGTTCTAGCATAGAAACGCGGAAGAGAATCAATGGAAATTTTATACGTGCGATTATATTCTCCCTTGGCGGTTCTAAAAGCGGGCGTTAAATGTCAGAATATTATCCTGCATCAGAACCTTATGACGCTATTTTTATTACAAAAGGGGTCTCTAAAGACATGAATTAAGACGCCTTCTTACTTTAACTTAAGGTAAAGTATGTAAGAACAGACGCTCCAACACTCGTTAGCATTTTTACCACACTTTATCGGACCCTCGACGATCTCTTCAATACCATTCCGCTGAATTCAAAATTACTCTAACATTTTTACTTTCAAATAACATGTTTCGCATTTTTTCCAGCAAGTAGAGCAAAACACGGACACTTAACGACTTTGTTGCCGCGTTTCATACCCGCATCCTAAACAGGCTGGCGTTGGCGTTCAAATCTCCCGGCGGAAAATTAATAAAATTTTGATGACCAGAACCAAGCGCCATCCTGCCTAGGCCAAAGGTTATCACCTCTCAACAAAATCACGTGATCACATCTAGGCGACATTTCCATTTTATCGCAAAATAGCGCTTTCCTCATCTGATCTTAAAATGCATGCGATCCAAGCAATTACAGTTCGTTTACCGAACAGATGGACTGATCACGTGCGCTTCACGTGCCCACACATGCGTATTTGTGCCTGTTTATAAATGCAAGTTTTAGTTTTTTAACAGGTTTGCCTCGTGGTACCTAAACTAAGCCAACTTGATAGTAATAGTCTTTAAAACGACCGATTAACCGAAAATATTGAATAAACGGTTAAAACAAAACACACGAACATGGCGAGAACAGTGAAAGCACGACGAGATGAAGACACAGATAAGAGAAATCCAGTTGGTCTGGGTGTGAAAACCGGTTGGGGTTAAAAAAATCACGTGAGGATCACGCACTTTTACAACTCCATCTGTTCGATAAACGGAGTATAGATAACTTCACAAGTTACAACTTGCATGATTTGTTCCCTCTACAATTATCAACTGCACCTACACAGTATCGTATTGTATCTTAACTCTTCAGAGTGCAGGTTGAGCGGCTTCCATTTCTCGTTCTATAAACTAAATTGTGAACTATATAAAGCATCATTCCGATAATAGAAGTGAAGGAAAGTTCAATATACAAAAGTAAGAGTGTATTATCTTAGGTTTTGTTTGTTTTTCCGAAACGCAGACAAATAAAATACGTTGAAATGTTTTCAGCGAGTCTATGCAATAACAAAAGTTCAAGGGACTTTAAAATTCTTCTTTCTAAAGCCAAACAAACACATTTTTTACTGAACAATGGGGTATATTTTGAGGTTAAGTGAACAAATCTAGATTTGAGCTACGCTTTAAGGACGTGTTTTCAGGTAAATTTGCCGCAGGTATAACGTACACAATAATTTCACAAAACTGCTGCAAATTTCGAAAACAAAGCCTTGAAGGGTTTGTAGTGGCACCACGCACTGAAGGCATGCAAATTTTTACAAGTTGGGGGCGATATTGTCATTTTGCTTGAAAAGAAGAGAAGAAAAAGGCTTAGCAACATTGTTTGAAACAATTGCGACAGGCACACCGTTAAATTTTCTTATTACCCCGGAGTAAAATTTTATTGCCGTGATTAGCGAACGGAATTACTCATTTATTAGGTTCGTGATTTGTGAAGAAGCCAGGCTTTGACGGAATTCCACGCGGAAGCTCAATCCTGTCAAAACACGACTTTTTTTATAGCTTCCTGTGATTCTTTTTTCTGTTTCTTCGAACGGATTTGCATGTAACTTGATCCCATATGATAGACGCGGTCTGATTTTATTGTAAAACTGTCGCCTCGCTTCGCTTCTTACTGATTATCTATTATCTTTATCACGCTTCTCGAACATATTTATATATGCTTTCACATCAATTACTTCCTCGTAATGGAATGATCTAATCAAGCTTTTTAATTACTCCAACTTTGTTGATCGCCAATCGCTCTTCCGATCTCACAACAAAAGCTTCATTGTCACGCAAACTACTAGAAAATTAACACCAAATCAAAATTACGGAGATCCGTTGTCTTGCTTAATTTTATAGACCCTCAAACCAGAAAAACGGTTTCCGAACGCTCGCCAGATTCGTCGTGTCAGCTGATTTGAATCAGAAAGATAAATTTCACCCAGTTCAACAAACTCATAATTGAAACTTACTTACGCGATTTATTTGAGCCTAAAGCTCCACCTTCGGTTTCTCGATATGTTAACAAAAACGGTGAAAATTTTATTTTGCCGAAAATTGCGATTCCATCTTTACGCATGAAAAACTAACTCGAAGTTAATCGCTGGAACGCACGTTTAAATCGGTAAACAGTTTTTTTACCTACGAGGAAGATTTATATTAAAACGTATCGCCGATAACTCGTGCACGCGGAACTGGCGCAGTCGGTGGGATTGCTCCCAGCGCAAAAAGTTTTTTCATTATTATCATTATTACCAACAATATAATAATAACGGAATAATCTTGTAACTAAATTTGCTTATGTAAGTGACTTCAAATTTAAACTTCGGTACGCGTTCCAATTTTTTTTTAAATTTGGGTCCATTTGTAAATTAAAAATCTTCGTTCCACATGGACGTATTCGCAAAATTGTCTAACAAGACATCGATAAAACGGTAAAATTGCTTTTCCGTTTCAGCTGGATCGGAAATGGATGGATTTTGTTTCACGATGCTGTTTGCTCAGTTTTTTAAAAAAGTCGTGAATTTAGGATCCGCGTCGAGCCATTTCGTAAAATGCCCCGTTTTTATGTGCGTTGTGCGGCGTTTCCGTTTCTTTCGGGTCTGGCCGCCTGCAATCAGATTTTATGCATCGGCTTTAATTTGCGCCGTATGCCGGTTCGACGCAGACACATGTCGCCCGTTTGTCTGTCGTGTTGTCAAGTTCTAATTGTTTTCTAGGAAAACCCACTTGTGGTCCGGCGTGACGCGAACGGATGGAGTTTCCGCGCTGAAATTTATGGCCCGTTTTTGCTTGCATATGTCGCGTTTTGCGTACTCAGGACTAATAATTTTGGGCGGTGCGGCGACAAATTGACGGTCGCATAAGCAGTTTTTTCGCATTGTTTCCAGTCTGATCCATTAACGAGCGGCGTGCCTGAGAAACGAAAGTCCATTTATCCCGATGTTTCGAGTCGATGGCTTTCCTGCCACGCCATTAACGGATTATGCAGAGTTTTTCCCGGTCATTTCATACCTGGAAAACAATTACTTCGTCCATGTAAATTTCATGTTGTTTTTGGCGTTTTCTCCAGGCTGGATTTTTAGGATAATTCGAGATTGTTGACGCGGCCGTTTCGGGCTCCGACATGTGTGTAATTTCTTTTGTGCGGATTCCGTGTTCCGTTGTTATTAGTGAATGCGCACTCGTTTTCAAGTTTGATTAAGTCGGAACATCAGTCCTTAATGAAAATTTTATGTATTATTATACCGGCCGTGGATCTTGTTAGGCATCAAATTATTTCATTCATTTGGGGGCGAATTTTTGGCAGCAATCTCGGATGGGCTTTTTAATTTGTAAAATTATGAAACCGGCAGAATTTTCTTTCATTTAAATTTCTAGTTCTTCAGTTATGAAGTTCATCACGGTTTTACTAGTTTAGCTTGTTAGGCAAACAATCTTTAATTAGTGTCTCGGGGCGATAGCTAGCGCTCATTCTTATTACTACATTTTAAATCAAATTTTTTGCATTGGGGGCATCCTAAAAATCACAAAATGTTATGTGTACGAAATTTATTGGCACATGTATGCAAATACGACCCAGCGTGACATTTCTGTTCACACTTGAAGCGAAAATATATACATTTGTTTTTATGGAAAAAGTTTACGACGTCAAAGATTAACGTAAACATCACATACAAGTCCTACATCGACTTTCGATACTGAAAGATTGAGAGTTGTTATTTATTTTTGACGAGAAAGCTTTTTAAACATATTTCGAATGATGTTAATACAACGGAAAAGTAAAAGATAATGTCACAAAGGAGTACAAAACTGAAAGCAAAATCAAGCATTAAATATGTAGCACTACATTTTACAAAGTTGACGGTATTGACAGATGATTGAAAGCAACGACGTGATTAAAAAGTAAAACTGAGGTAGAACAATACATTCAATATTTACAGAGTATAATGGAACATTAGAATGCTTGGCAAATAAGCAAAGCAGAGTAAATATCCCCGAGACTTATATGCATTAAATTATTCAAAACATCACTATGCGTTAATTCAGTTTAGTTTTACCGACACTTGAACGGTAGAGATTGCGAATATGTGAAAGTTAACCCCGAATTGACTTTTTTTTCGAGAATTGTGACCCTTATGGTAATGTGTGATAAGGGTTATGATAGTAAATATATATATCGGTTTTTTTGCACGTCAGACGCTTTTAACTCGTAAGGGTAAAATTTACATCAAGTACAATTGACATTTTTTCAAGAGGACCGTGCCTCGTATGCTGATAAGGGTTAAATTGGTATAAAATTGTTTTTGGCTTTGGGTGTTTTGCACGCTGTGCGTATTTACCGGCAAATGTAAAATCCCGGTTCTGTTAATTTTGTTATAAATTAGTTTATAAAAACGCAATTCTGTGATGTTTAAAGATCTGCCGACAAGTTGATTAAAGGTGCGTTTGGGGCCTGAATTTTAATTACGGAAATATCGAAAGCCGATTTTGCTTTGAATGGTATTTTGCAGCGCCAATACATCGCATTTGTATTGCTTTGAAGTAGTCTGATTGGTTTCAGATGGAATAAAAATTTCCGTTATGACCTAAAATGTGATTGCTAATGAAGCCTTTTTCTTGCTTTTCTCGAACCGTGTTTTGTAAGTAATTTCCAGGCCAAATGACAATATCTCTGAAATAGGATACCGAACACTTGAAACACACGTCATTAGGTTAGTGCCTCACGTTTTCACAATAGCTGCTTTTCCCCGTATGTGCGTGCTTCTTTACCGACGGATCCACCCTTTCACAACAAACAAATACCTCACTTTGTCGAGCTGTAAATCCTCTTCGGCGATTTTTCCGTGTAATTCGAGATAATTATGCAAAATTGCGTAAAGAAGCACGCAACCGTTTGTAAATAGATTTTGAGCCCCAGACTCGTCAAATAATAATAACGTAGCTTCCTGCAAAGACACAGAACGCTTACTGTAAACAGTGAAATGAGCTTTATGCAACTTAAATTCCATTCCATTTTGTACATTACCCCCAGATAAAGGCGAGGGATTTCTACACTCAAATTGGCCTCGTCACCTCGCCTTCTCCTACCAAATATAGAAGAGTATTGTTGGTCACACCACCGACCACTCTTCACTCTTATTGCGGTAGCTTCATCCGCCAGGAAGGCATAAATTTTTTAAATGTCTCTTGTAACAACCGAGGTGACGAGTTTTCGCTAGAAATCCCTTATTACTTCTTTTATACAACAATACGCTTTTAGATATCGCAACTATTTTAACACAACGTTTCTAAAACAAATCTCCTCGGACCACAAGATAAACAGCCACTATTTTTCGAGACACTTTTCCACTCTGTTGTCCCGTTGACTCGTGATATTGACACAAGTGTACACTAAGTAACAAAGGCAACGACGGCGCAAATTATTGCCTTTCAGAAAAGGTTAAGGACAGGACTTGCGTCACTTCCTTTCGCCACAGGAAGGGCGACATCACTTCACACAGAAACAAATTATTCCGTTACACACCATAAGACAAACGACTTTATCAGGCAAACATCAAAGTACGATGTACAACAAAATCCTACATCCTACTTTCATGCCTCTGCCGAACAAAGTCACTTTTAGAGACTATGTTAATACAACTAGTTCGGCTAAGCTGAGTTCGAAACTCACTTAGATAACAATCACAAAGTCGGCCACTACCTAAAATCCAAACAATTTCTTATAATCGCGAACCATCTGACCGCAATCTTTTCCAACGTAAACTTTGTTACTACTGTACACTCCCCAGTCCAGCTGTCTATCCAATTCAAACTTTTTCATCCAGTCGTCTCAAACCGGAATCGGCAACTTATCCCATCTCATTTTGATTAAAACCAAAACGCCGCTGGACTGGCCGCTACAATCCGAAACCGCTAAGGAGCATCGCGTTATAACTCTATCGCACAATGGCGCAGTCGGTGGGATGCCGGTCAACCGATTTGAATCTCCTTTAACGCGATGCTTCTTCCCGCGAGCTGAGCATGGTTGTGTTTTCGCGTTCTGCGCCCCTGTTTCGGGGTAGTTTTTGTGTTAAAATAGTCTGTTTGTTTTTGAGAACCGCTTGATTGGGTCGTTAACACGTACTCTGGCTTACTCGAGAAGCAGAGCTTAGCTGTAGACTTGTGGAGATGGTGTTAACGCCCCAACATAAATCGAGTTAATTCAAAAATATCTTGGGAATGTCGTAACTCGGTTGCAGCTGCGAAAACCTGTGTCGACGCTTTCCATCCCTGGGGCGGTGAAAAACTCGAGTAGAGACTCGGCTGGAGGGAGGATGCAGCAGGAGGAGTCTGGTGTTGCTCTTGTGGGTCATGTGGACTACCCGAGGTTTATGGAGGAGAGGACTATAGGGAGTGGAGTGTACAAAGGGCCTTCGTCCGGTAGCCTCAAGCACAAACCTAACGTAGGCTACCGGTTAGGGAGACGTAAAGCGCTTTTTGAAAAAAGAAAACGGATTAGTGATTATGCTTTAGTTATGGGGATGTTTGGAATTATTGTTATGGTTATAGAAAATGAACTCTCAAGTGCTGGCGTTTATCAGAAAGTAAGTCACTTTTCTGCTCGACTATGTTCTGATCGAGTCTCATTTTAGGACGATTTTTACTCAATTGCGCTCAAAACTCTGATATCTGTTTCGACTGTGATTCTTTTAGGCCTCATCGTGGCCTACCATGCTTTAGAAGTGCAGGTAAAATTATTTTTAAGAACATTTCGCACGAGTTGCGCGCTCGTTACGCAACAGTTGGTGGTTTAGTTCTACCGTAGAAAAACTATACCGTAAAACTCTCATAACGTTGTCCATTACGGTTCACACCCGTGGGAAATAAACACCATTACACAATTCTGATGTTTTAAAAGCACCCGATAATGTGTGTTTGTTGCCTCATTAAAAAATCATAAACAAGTGTGTGCTTGAAAAAGACAATCAAAAATCAATACCCGAACAGATCAGTGTCGATAAAAATTACGACCACAACTATACAAACACAGAACAAAAATTGTTTTTCGAACTTTACATTCACATTAGTGGTATGATGTATTAAATTAACGATTGATCTACTGATTAAATGCAACTACGAATAAACCTAAACAGAAAATTTAAAATGCGCTTTGTCTGTTATTTGACATGGCTGTCCAGTATGAAAGTAAATATTGATTTGTAGGAAATTTAATATAGATAACTGCCATATTAAACGCAACAAACTTTGTTTCACATTGGCAATATTTTTTCCAGTTGTTCTGCGCAGTTTGTTTTGTTTAATATACATAAAATCGTCGCATTATTTACAATATACAGGATGTGTCAACAAAAATTAAAAAAAAAAGTTCCAACTATACACTACCTCAATTACCCTGGGTCTTTTAAGACAGCCTGTACATGTTGATGCCGTGATGATTCGCACTCGGGTACTCTGTTTAATCAGTATGAACAAAGCTGAGTTAAGGGTCGTTAACGTAATATTCGAACGATGCAGTTATGGAATAATTACGTGTGTTAATGTATTTGCAGGGTGTTCTATGTCATGAACATTCTCGGTTTTGCTTCACAAATTTGGTTGCGTAGCCTTTTGAATATTCTCCCTGACGATGCTTTTAAAGTTGCCATCTCTAATTTCCATATTTAAACAATAGAAAATTTGGGTCGAACGTGATTTAAATCAGCGGGATTCAGTCATTTAATACGAGTGCTTTTGAATTTTTAAAATTTGCTTATTTATTATGCAAACAAGGTTTCATTTAATCAGGCATCTGATCTATTTGAAATGGCGTGTACGTATGAATATAACATTAAATACTGAGTTTTTGTGTATAAACTATTTGTAAAATGACAAACAAATGGTAATTTGAAATTTATGTTTAATTTTAGTGAAATTTTTAAAAGGTTGATTAATTTAGTAAATGTTTCGTGCTCAGTAGCATAATAAAAATAAATTACAGCGAGCAATTTGAGTTAAACAAAACAAACAACTATACAAATTTCAAAGGAGACGTTCAAAGGAGCCGACCCCAGTTTCTTCCGACAATAAAAGGACTTTAAACACATTCTTAATTCGTTACGAGACATATAAACGTGGGCGTTTTTGAAACGCACCCTACATATCCTACTTGCGGTAAAATATGTGTATACTTTCAATAATGTTCGAAATTTAAGCCGCTTTCCAAGTTTGTCGAATATAAAGTGCCTTTCCAATAAAAAGCTCGCTCCGACTAAATCTGCTCAGTAGAGGAGTTGGAGAACATGCATAAAGGGTGGCAAATATGCCAATCGAGCACCGAAGCCACACTTCGAACACGAAAAATGGGGCCGTAATAAACTTTACGAACGCACATCCAACTCTCCCAGATAGTGCCGTTTAAACTTCTGGCCGCACTTGTCGGCGGTCCCGCAAGGCACTGCCTGAATCACTGTTTTTTAATCCGGCTTGTTTCAGCTTTTCATGATAGACAACTGCGCGGACGATTGGCGTATCGCGATGACTTGGCAGAGGATTTGCCAGATCACGATGGAGTTAGTAATATGTGCAGTGCATCCGATTCCTGGACACTATCGGTTCGTGTGGTCGACGAAACTGGCGAACAAAGCCGGTGGGGACGGATTAAAAAAATGTGTACCGTACGACGTGCCCTTATCTTTACCGATGTTCCTGCGGCTTTACTTAATCTGCAGAGTGATGTTACTACATAGTAAGTTGTTTACGGACGCATCGTCGCGCAGCATAGGAGCTCTTAATCGAATTAATTTTAATACACGATTCGTCTTAAAAACTCTCATGACCATCTGCCCCGGGACAGTGCTCTTAGTTTTTATGGTTTCCTTGTGGATTATTGCCAGCTGGACATTGCGGCAGTGCGAAAGGTATGTCTTCTGCATAATTCATAACTTTTCGCCTTCAGCGCTTTTAGTAGCATTTAACCGCATCCTCGGCGACCTAACCCTTCACATCACACTCATCAAAGTCTTACCCGGAGATATGAGAAAGCAGACACCAGCTGATGTAGACGGCGGCACCAAAACGCATAAAATAATTATTTCTGCCGTCTTTCATTTATGCGGGAAATCCACAAGTGAGTGAAAATCCCTGCAGGACAGAACAGTGTTTGTGTCAGAAAAAAAAATTTCAAAAGATGAGCGTTGAAGCGCGAATGTGTTTTGATCATGCTATAGCCGTGTCTACCTTTCCATATCTCCATCCTTACCACCTATCGGAACGCACGCTCTTGCCGACCCTTCGAACTGAGTGTTTGTTTTATCAATTGTACACAAGGATGAGCATTCATTTCTGCACTTTTGCACGTTTATGACGCTTCCAAAATTTTATCGCAGCCATCTATCAATTTGCGTTAACTTTTGTCCACCGCGATCACAAAAGCCGGTATAGGCAATATGAGTCACAATAGAGCACGCCAACAAAGCATCTTCCTGCTTCTAACAAATTAATTAATTGAACAAACACCACTTTAAAGACTTGACATTCATCGTAATGGAATCACCCTTTAAAGGAAGCCACTTTCTAATCTTGTGTTTCCATTTTGGGAACGCGTTCACCCGTTCATGCACAATTGCATCGTGTAGGGTTCATCGACCCTGCTGTTATTGGTATTAGTTATGCCTCCTCACCAGGATAATTCGTTACAGGTTCCACGATGAAGAACACGCAAACCTGCTTAATGCTATGTGGCTGATAGCGATCACTTTCCTGAGCGTTGGCTTTGGAGATATTGTTCCTAACACGTATTGTGGAAGGGGCATTGCGGTCAGCACGGGCATCATGGTGAGTTGCTCCCACTTTTGACTTATGATAAGCCATCTCTTTGCGTAACTGACTCCTGACTGATAAAAATTTTGCTAATTTTGTCTGCGTTGTCACCTAAATCCACCCGCCCGTCTGACAAATTTCGCAGTTTTGCTCCGACTCTCGAACTCATTTTTCATTCCCAACTCCCTTCCATATAAAGACGGAAAGACCATAATGGAATCATAAACTAACACGGTTAATGATAAAAAACTACCAAAAGTAACATAATTAGTTGAAATTATCTGACAACGACACCGTAAAACTTTGACGAGGTTCAGCCCTTACGGTTCGTTTTTCTTGGTCACGTTCGAATTCCCATTCTGCGACTGTTACGGCGGTCTTTTATGGTGCACTCTGAATACGACTGCACTTCGTTATGTTAAAAACTTTATTACTGTTTTTCAAAGAACAAAAAGCTTGCTACGAAAATCACGAATCTTCACGGAAACACGAACTACTCTAAAACTTCGAAGAAAAAAAGGGATCAATATGTAGTTTTAAAAATGCCATATAAACATTCACTTAAATTTTCACTTAAATCAAAGTTTGTCTTTATTGCTCAAGGCGTAGTCGGTAGGATGACCGAAATTAAAATTTCGTGGAACTGTCCCCAGGCACATAAATTGGCAGCTAACGCCAAAACTTCGAAGAAAACAAGATCATCATTTAGTTTTAAAACGTGCCATGTAAACATTCGTTGCGGTTTAAATCAAGTGCAAAAATCGAAATTTAACCCATCTTCGAACAAAGATGTTAAAAAGAAATTAGGTAGCTTGGACCAGATACGCACAGATGATCGACGTAGAAATTGACCCCGGAATCCCAAATTCTTACCTAACGCTAGAACTTCGAAGAAATTAAGATCAATATTTAGTTTTTAAAATGCTATATAAACATTCGTCACGATTTAAATCAAAAGTCGAAATTTCGCACAAATCGTATTCGCACTAAACCGATTTCTTCTTATTATGCAAAACAAAACCTCCAAATCAAGCAGCTTGGACAAGACACGCAAGGTGGCGCAGTCGGTAGGATAACCGAAATTAAAATTTCGTAGAAATTGTCCCCGGAAACACAAATTCTCAGCTAACGCCGAAACTTCTAAGAAAACATGAATCAACATTTAATCTTTAGAAACGCTTTATAAACATTCTCCGTGATTTAAATCAACTGAAAAGAAGTCGAATTTATTAAGATAATAAAAAGTAAGAATAAACTTTATCACAATCTCCACGAAAACAAAATTAACCTTTGCGACAAATTAAGCTTGTCGCCGTCGCTCTTATTTTAGCCTGAATTTTAATAACAATGTGAGTAGCTTATTTTCGTACAAGGAATTTGCACTTTAAAAAGAAAAAAGTACGACAAATATCAAGACAAACATAAATCTTAGATCTCGACGTAGGCACGCTACAAATTACTTCCAAGAAGTAAAAAGAGAGAATTGGTTAAGAAAGAGTTGCAGCCAAGAATTACAACTAATCTACACTTTTCACCATCTATGCGCACGACATAGTAACAAGTTACGATTGTTGGTTAGGAGTGTGAATCCGAAATTAAAATTTTCCCGGCCGTTGCATTAAATATAGCAGTTTGTGTGTGCAAAAACTGCTCAGACGGATAGTCATAAAAATACGACGTGCATTATAGACATTTTTGCTCTCGGGCAGAGATCAAACGTGGTTCCAGATAAATCTGCAGATGAAGCTAACTTATAACTATAAGGGACTACTGAAAATTCTAGTCAGTTATGATTTGATTTCTAGATATAGTAAGATTCCAAAGAGATTAAACTGATATATTTTCGTAAATATGGAGCAGTGGTGGAGAATCCAAAGCATATTTGAGACAGACGCCAACGTAGCCTTAGCCTTACCGTCCTACAGTTTAAATGGATCAGAGAATCAAAAAGAATCTGGTCTTGACGCGGATAACCATTTGGTTCCCTTGGGTTACTTTTAAAAAGTGCGCTTGAGTTTCATGCTCCGACGTGAACGGCTGGGTCATTGACGGATGTCCCCAAACGGTCAGTTGGGCTAGACTTTAAAAGTTAACTCTCACGTTTTGTGCTTGTCGCTTTTATTTCAAAATGTTGATGTTAATTAAAGCATGTAATAAATGAATGATCACGCGGTGACGTATGGCCAAAAAATGGATACCAAAAGACACTCAGTTCCTTCTGGTTGTCTCCATGTTTCGACTAAAATAGAAAGAACAGCGTTGTTTATTTATTTATTGGATGTATTCGGTTGTCTTAAAGATGGGACAATGTTCTTAAGTGCTGATCCCTTGGTTTTGCCTCGCTCGGGTGCTGCTAATACGTCAAAGAAGATCAGTGTGGACCCTTGAGGTGGAACGAAACGAGAAAGTGAGGCCGAATGTTTTGTTTTATTAGTTCGGTCTCAGATGTGGACACCGCTTTCGATGTAGAAGTTCTCCGCGCCGGAAATTTAATTGGGGAGTTCCGATATTATCCTTAGAGTAAAACGAATGTTTGACATGTCAAAAATAAACTGCAGCTACTAAAATAGTCTCTAATCGTCTTAGAACGGTGTTTGTTTCGGTCGATTGGATCACAAATCTAACAAACAACCCGGAAAGCTTTTCTACTCAACAATTGCTTGTGCTATTCGAACTCATGGAGCTAATTTTGCTGTTCAACTTTTCAACTTATATTGTTTTTGTGTAGGGAGCTGGCTGCACGGCGTTGCTCGTAGCTGTGGTGTCTAGGAAGTTGGAATTAACTCGCGCGGAGAAGCATGTGCATAATTTTATGATGGACACCCAGCTGACAAAGCGGGTGAGTATCTTCAGGGTGTGGTGCGGCAGTTTGGAAAAGTAATATGCAACTTTCAGTTGAAAAACGCCGCCGCCAATGTGTTGAGGGAAACTTGGTTAATTTATAAACATACAAGGCTAGTGAAAAGGGTTAACCCTGGTAGAGTTCGGACGCATCAAAGAAAATTTTTACTCGCTATTTACGCGTAAGTTAAACGTTGTGGACCCGAGTTTGCATTAAAGCGTTTGAATTTTCCTAGGTTACGTAAAGTTAAAATGGACCAACGCAAATTAATGGACAATGCCAACACCATAACGGACATGGCAAAGGTAATGTTTACGATCATCACGCGAATAAATTCCTTGTTCTAAAATTAATGACAGAGCTGTTAGTGGAAGGGTTTTATTAAATTGGGCGTGGCGAAAGCGAGGTGTTTTATGACTCTTGAGTTTTGCCCACATTAGCATTGTTCTAAAGTGTGTTAACTTGTAGACACAAAACACCGTGTATGAAATAGTCTCCGATATGAGTACGAGGCAAGACACTTTGGAAGATCGCCTGACGACAATGGAAGATAAGATAGTGGCACTCCAGGAGCAGTTAGAGTTATTACCTGACCTTATAGCTAACAGGATACAAGCTCAGGTAGGGTTTTACCGGTCGTAGACGTTCGGATTAATTTGTGGTTGCAGGCGGAGAAAATGGAGCAAAGACGCAATTTTTTGCATCCTGAATCCGCGGCTGGTCTTCAACAGGCTCGTAGTGTTCCTCCTGGATGCCCTTGGCCTGGTCCCGCTTTACCTCCTGCTGGAAAGCAATCTGCTGCCTCTTCTGTCGCACAGAGTTGATTTCCTTATTGGAATTAACTATGCAACACAGTATTTAGTCGGTATATATATTTTAATGAACATCATGGGTGGTCATAGTTTTCGTATGGAATTTACTCGTTCTGGCCTATTTTTCTCAATCTTTGCTTTCTTGAGAGCAAAGTCACCTAATTTACAAACCATGATGAACAATACTAAATATATATTGAAATTTTAGAGCCTTATCTATATACAGTATTAGTAATAATACAACCACGTTGATACTAATAGGCGTTAGATACTCAGTAACTACGATTTGCCATTATCATCGATCATAAAATACTATAATCATATCTCAGCCACTAGATAGCCAATTCGAAATTTACCAACACACCTACATTTTACAAACGATGTGCCAATCGATTCATTGCATTAATTTTATTTTATAAAATACTAACGATATTTTCAGATATTTATATAGGGACACATTTTCTACATTGAGATATGATCTAGTAATATTTCTGTACTTCCTGAACTAGCTTAGCGCGGTGTTCAGATTTCAGTCTTGAATTATAGAATTTTTAAAATTTAGTAGACTCATTCCACCAATACTCGATTGAATTGGCTATAGTTCTAAAATTAATTAAAAAAGGTGGGGTGTATAACGTTGCCAATACATGGCTTTTATACAAATTTGCTACTTTATAGTTAAACTTCAGCCAAATTTAGGCTATTAGTTAATTATAATTCCATTAGAAGCTTCGTTAGATGCTTTGATTCCAGTAATTTTTAATAACTCGACTGACTGAAGTTTTAGACTTAGATCGCTATATGATTATAGTATTTTGTTACTAATAAAATATAAATCAACGATAAGCACATTTACTTTGTGAATACACAGTTTATGGATTCCCTTAACAAAATTACAATAGTCATGCCAATAAGCATATATCCGTTTAAATTTTTTTCATATTATATATGATAATAATCCTAAAATAGCCTGATGATTTTTTTAATCGTAGATATTTATAATGTACAGATGTATTTATCGTTTACTGACTAATTTCGTTGAATTTGTCTCTAATACTGTTTTAGACTGTTCTCGTGGAATGTCAAATTTTACACGATTTTACCAATGTAAAACTCGTTATACATAGTTTCTAAAACAATACATCAACTAGTGCATTTTTAAACAATGAGTACTTCCACAATTGACAAAAAGTATATTATTGATAAACATATTTCTTATTCAGGAATTTCGCACCAGGTACCATTTTTCCTCATTTATACGAGTTTTGTAGCAATAAGGAGGTTCATTTCGTGCTGTAAAACGCGTCTTCATCGACCATTTCTTGTTTTTTATCATTGAGTTTGTAAATAGGGTTATTGTAAATACTGGATAAGAAATATGAGTGTGAAAGTAAAGCTTTAGATTTGATAAATCAGTGAAAATACTGGTGTGATAGTGTATGGTGCACCTTAAGCATTATATATATTCAGAGGTCCAAATTGTTAAACTGTTAGAGTTTTCTGCAATTTCACAAGTTTTATAAGCATATATTATATAATTTAGTATATACCCTATATTATACAAGACATATATCAGCATAGTTAGCCTGTTTTAAATTTCTTAGCGTTATATATTTTCAAGTGCATTTTCATGTTACCCTACTCATGTTACCAACGAATAAACTACTAGTTTCCTAGAATATTTGATTCTTACTACTCCCCACACTCTCCAACAAACTAAAGAAATTTCAACTAGAACAGAATGTTCAATGACGAAACCACATAAATCTGAAGCAACTAAAACCAGTAGGAAGCTGCTTCGAGCTACGAATGCCAACACATGATTTATGATGTGAAAGCCAATTGAGAAATTTTAAACCAATCACAAAAATTTTGATTAATTGAGGCATTCCAATCATCACACACAAGCACTACTTATCCCAAATAGTATATTTACACCACACTAATTAACGTGATCGAATGACTAAACATAGCTTGTTTAAATCAACAAGCGTGTAATTCCATTTGGCCCACTCAAACCCGTTTAATCCAAATAATATGCTTATTGTAATTTAATACTGTTACAACAATCCAGCAACCTTTACGGTGTAAGTTTAAACGCTCACGTTTCAACACTCCAAACATCCTACTGTATGCAAATGTTAAGACATTTATGGCGAAAGAAACACTATCTGGCATTAAATTTTAATACATTTTACTTGACTCGTTTTACAAATACTGACATTTCTTAACAAAATTTAGAAATAGTTCTTTAAATACACTTTTTACAATTAATGGAGAAGATTTTGTAGGTAGTCCTTCTTAATGCTGAAGCAGAATTTTAGTTCGAATCCCATTGAAACCTAATGACTTTTTAATGATTAATTGTTATATTATGCATTTTTATAACCAAAGGGCAATTATAATTAACAATGTCTAACTAGCTCAGATGATTGAGAGCTTTCCATAACTAAAGGATGGTCTTGGGTTTAATCCTAGAATCATATCATAATCATATTTACTGAGAATAAAGTTTGTGTTAAAAATCAATTTGTGAGACGTGTGAAATCTACTCAAAACTGGGGTAGAATAAAAAATATATACTGTCATATAATGTTCATTTATGTTGTCTGCTCTAATTGGTGTTCTAGTTCTTACCTCTGAATCAGCTTCCCTAGATTATCATCAGTCAGTTATCAATCAGAACAGTGTATCTTGTGAAAAAAACCTCTCAATATTGGGCATTAATAGTTAATTAACAATAAACAGATTTCCATAAATGATTCTAACAAGTGGGTACTGATCCATTCAATTCAAATGTCACGATTTTTTTTGACAGATGACGTATTAACCATATAATTAAAACTTTAAAAATGTCTACCATTACTACCAATATTTTAAAATTTCACAGAATTTATAATAATAGTGATTAGTTCTTAGAGGTCACAAAAATGAACAAGATTTATTTAATTATAATATGATGTGCTTATTTTTTTTCTGAGCTATATAGTCTGTCCGTAAAGTTCACAACAAGAATCGTTGGCTGTGTTTCTATGCACTCTCGTTCGGATCGTACCACTCCGACAAGTTCCGACACTCCCCAATCATTGACGGATTGACCTCACGACACAATAATTAATTAATAAGGTATACGAATATATATATTTTTTCTATTGCTCTAAAGTTTTTTCTAATCATTCAAGATTTATAACATATGCAACACAACATACAAGTAGGACAAGTGCATCTACAAGTTGGCTAGGGGAGAATATTTGCTTAATTTTTTCGTTGATGGCTCAAGAGAATGGTAAATATTTTAATCGTGTTATCCTCATGTTTTCTAATGTCATTTTACTATTAGATGTTCTGCTCAAAGTATTGGATCAAGCTCTAGGCCCTGAGGGTGTACAAGAATCCTTGAAGAAAACAGGTTGAGATTTTCTAATGAAAGAGTTTTATTGAAGACAATCTGGTTATAAAAAAAGGAATTCGTTTATGGTTGGGCGGTGGATTTCAGTCACTGTTTCAAGGGCAGAAGGTTATATAGATACAAACATATTTTATCTGTTATTGACAAACATCAGCAAATTGAATCTACAGTGACGTATATTTTAGGATGTGCATGATAGTTCTGCTATAGATTTTTGTTGTCTTTATGATAGATTTAATTTGTACTGATCTGTTAATCTTCTAATAGTTCGTTGAATTTTATAAAGTTAGGCGTCATTTTTTTAAATTACTTGCATCATTTCATCAGATCTTTCAAAAGTTTACTTCAACAAATGTTCCTTTTTTAAAATTGAAGCTGAAAATAAATGATGAACCTATGAAAATTTTTGTCAGTTTCATATAAAATGTCAAAGAAACGTGATTTTGACTAATCTTGAAAACTAAACAAAAATTGTGAAAAATGTGGCTAAAGTAAGAATTTGTTCTCTGTAGGCGATTGAAAACGAAAACAAAGTAGTGGACAATCAACTAATACAAACACATTGGAACGTGAAATTTTAAATTTTTGATGACGTAGCATGGGACGATTTTGTTTTAAATTGATTTCATTTAATCTTTAAGAAACATAGGGGCAGTCTTTCATGATACTTAGAGATGGGGGCATTTTGTGTAAATATAGGCTGAACAGTTAACCGAAACTAATTTTATAATGGGTCGAAAATCAGGCAAAATTTGGCAAAATTTTGTGTTTTTTAGGATTAAAAATCAATATATGTGTAAATATATAGGCCCACATATTAGTAAAAAATATATTGATAATCTTACGTAACATAAAAACAATATCTTCACAAAATGATTAAAGGTCACAAACCTTAGAGATCCACTAAATACTGTTCCCCAAATACAATCATCATTGTGGCCTTATAGCGACCATCGTACCACTAGGCACGTACAACATGATAAAATACATCCAATATAACTAACAAGTTATCTTAACTTACTCATCGTAAACTAAAATTAAGAACGGATGTGTGGTCTCGTACCTAACTGCCGCGTTTGAAGATGACTGTGTTGCCAAATCTTGGGGTTGATGATAGCTCCGAAAAGGTTTCACTTCTTCTCTGAACATCTGTCCATTTAAATAAGTTGGTCGCTTCTTCGTTCTTCTCGGGTAGTGAAGGCCTTTCTTCTTGATAACATTCTCAGGTCTAAATTTTGTTGTAGTCGTCGTCGGTTCTTCGATAAGTTGTCGATCCTGATAGTTAATTACCGTCGCTGCGGAATAGTTATAGGTTTCTGCTTCTTCAGGTTCAAAATCTTCTGGTGGTTCTTCAACTTCGTAGGTGTTTTTAACGGGAGCTAGTTTAAGAAAGTTAGTTTGACGCTGAGAAGCAGTGTGGTATTTGTATTGTGTTGATGGATACATTTTTTGTGTTTTGGGTTGTAATATGAAAGATTCTTCTTCTTGTTCAGCAATTAAAGCATTTTGGTACTCAACTGAATTGAAGTGGCGAGTTTTTGGATGGACCGGTGTGATGAATTGCCGTCTGTCATACTGATATTGTGGATATGTTTGCCTAAAATGAGTTAAGAAATTAAATTTGTGGTAAAAACAAAACGAAATGCACGGGGGGGGGGGGTTAACTATGACTAAGTGAAGAGTGCTGTGATGATGTGTTGAGTATGTTAGAGTGTGTGTCTACCATCATGCTCCGGATTAATCACCCATGGACTTAGATATAACAAATTTATTTAAAAATATATCAAGGTACAATAACAAATTGATAGTTATTCCACGTATACACCTACAAACTACCCTAAAACTAAAGAAATTAATACTCTATTCAACGTAACTTGTAGGGTTCCCCAAATTCCTATAATATCTAACACTGGAATTTTGTAATTCTTGCCTGTAAGAAACAGACGGTCCTCGTCCGGTTTGTCTCACTGCCACTTCGGCTGACGGTTGATACGCCAAATCCGCAGATTGGTACTGTGGAAGCTGTTTGCTTTCCTCTTGATATTGTTGCCTACTAAGGTATCTACTAGGTCTCACTTCCGGTTCTGGTGCGTATTGAGGCTGTTGCCGTCTGGGAAGACTCTCTCTGGGAAGACTCTCTCTGGGAAGACTTTCTCTAGGAAGACTATCTCTGGGAAGACTCTCTCTGGAAAGACTCTCTCTGGAAAGACTCTCTCGCGAAAGACTCTCTCGAGGAAGACTCTCTCTGGGAAGACTCTCCCTTTCCCTCTGATACTTGGGTACGGGCTGATACAAGTACTCATCTTTGCCATCACCCTGATCTTCATATTTTGACGGTTTTGTAGGTCTAGGCAACGGCCTTCTATAAGCCGGCTCATCTTGATATTTCAAACTCGGTTGATAATCATATTGCTCGTCTTGGTATTTAGAAACCGGATGATATTCCTCCTGTGGTTCTTCTGTAGGTTGGTACTTGGGCTTCCGCCTTGGAAGTCTTGTAGTTCTTTGTTTAGTCGCCCTCGTGGGTGCTTGAGTCTGATATTCCAACTCCTTTGGTTCCGGGTACAACAACGAATCTTCCACTTGGAAGTTTTCGTTCTTTGGGTAAACATTTCGAGGAGTCAGAGGTTGCTGGTACCGACTAGAAGCAGATTCGGGTGCATAGGTAGGACGCTGCGGGGGGACTTGAGGATAGTATTCGTACTGCTGGGTGCTAGTTGGCCGTGTGGGTGTCGTTTTCTGTTTTTTAGATTTCTTCACACTCTGTGAAACATAAATCGCGGATTTCGACGGACTGTCATGACCATCTTGATTTTCTGCCGCAAGAAGTTTTTGTTGAGCGATTAAAGCGTTTTGGTACGCCACTAAATTAAAGTGTGGTGTCTTAGGGGCCGACTTGGGTGATTCCTGTTGGGGTTCGTACTGATACTGCGGATAGGGTTTCCTAAAACGGGGGAAACGAATTACACTCGACAATCGTAGGAGTTGAAGGACGTGATATATAACGACTTATGCAACGCTCGAAAGGTCAAAAGTAAAAGAAGGGAAATAAATCTTCAAGTTCAATAGCATGTGTACTTTCGATTTCATGTTGATGCATTCAAAAAAAAAAGAAAACGAAAGTTGACAAAGTTTCCAAAATTTGCAAAGTAGGTAATAAATTAGAGAGTCATTATAGTCGCATAAATAACCCAGTCAATTATGGCGTCCTAGTTAACGTGATCGGTACTTACTGTTGTTGCAGTTCAGGTTGCAAAATGTATCTGTAAGATTGTTGTTTCAGAGGGGTTTCTTCACTTTGTTCTTGTTTCACAGCGCTTTGACTGTTGAACCGTAAATAATTGGACGGTCTTTGGTATGCAGTTTTCGTAGTTGGGTTAACTTCTTTCAAGTATTGTTCCACGGGTTGTTGGGGCTGTTGTTGTTGTTGTTGTTGTTGTTGCTGTGGTGTGGGGGGTTGACTTTGTTTCTTCGCAGCAACCCTCAACCTCACCAGGTGATTGTGCTTCAAAATTTCTTCATAGTCTTTGTGCGAGGGCGTCGTGGGCTGGTACCGGTACGATTCGGTTTCAGCTTTGGGACGAGGTTGCGGCTGCGGCCGGTAATACTCTTCTTCCGCCTCGTCGTACTGATAAGCAGTTGCCGGTATTCGCTCGGCTCGTCTAGAAACGATCATGTTTATGGATTCAAACGAGTTTATTTAGTACCTGTTTGGTTTGTAGTAGTGTTTGTCATCGGCCACTTCTGGTTCCTCGCCTCCGGTGAGCCCTGAGTAGGGCAAGACGTACCTCGTCGGTCGCTCTTCATCTCTCAACAGCTGACAATTACCGCCGATTGCCACCAGGAGTACTAAAATCCGAAAAATGTTTATGCAATAATCGTAAAAGTGAACAAGTTCATCTATCTAAAGAGACGGTGACCCCGATTCCTGCAGTAAAAGTGTCCATTTGTCAAACGATTCGCGATGATTATACTATGTGTAGCATTAAACCGGTTATCAATGGTATTTAAGCATCTCGAGTTTTTATGTTAATTAGGTTATTGACAGTGCAATATGCTTATATAATTGCTACCACCCAGTTATCGACCGCTGGCCATCCGCTGCTTGAAAACTCTTATTTTCGTTGGCCTAGATGAGTTAAGTAGGTCTAATTGGTGTCATTACGGTGAAGTACTCATTTTTTAACGACCGTCTCACTATAATCTACTCCTAATACGAATTTGATTATTCATTCTCTTAAACTTTCGTTTAACTAAAAAATGCATTGACTGCATCCACAAGCTTTCAAATATTTTTTGGTTTTTAGCTTTAAAAACGAAAGTACTTAAACTTGACTAATTAAATCAATTAACTATCCACAAAAAACGTTCCACTTGACGCATATGCGCAAAAAAAAGAATCAGGTTGAATCTGAAATCGATGATTTCTATACTTGGTTAACTTTTCAAAAAAAAAAAAAAATCTCGAAAGGATTCATTTTATATAATTATATTGCAACATGTGTACAAACTATTTCAGATCACATTTTTCAAACATTCTCTGTAAATTCGTCTTCCTGGAGAGGTCTGCAGTGGTCGAAGCTTGTTATGTAACTCTTACAAAAATCTATAACTTGCATAAGATAATTTAATGGTTTTGGCAAAATTTTGACGGAAATTTTTAGGCTTGCGAAAGGTGGTCAATTCAGATGAAATTTTGTGACAGGAGGTTTAGTTTCGTAAAATATTACTCTAGGAACCGAGATGAAAAGGTTGTGCCGGATTTTATAAATTCTTCGTTTTTCGAAAGAAATGACTATTTTTGACGCGTCTAAAACGATTTTCACAAATATTGTGTCGAACATATTGAAATGAGGAAAGTTCTATTGTCATTGTTCGAAGAACCTTTTATAGAATTACGACTTGTAGCTTCCTACATTTTATCCTTTTTTTCCGATTGGCTAACGCGTACTTACCTAAAACGGTATTTATGAATGTCAAGTCATTTCTACAAATTTTTGTAATAGTTTAACTTTTTATGATACTGTTATATAAATGTTGCATCAATGCGATCTTCAGATTTTGGTATTTATTGATTTAATAAATTTCAGACACGTTGTCAGAACGTTTATTTATCGTGTTTGTGCAATTTGTACAACCAAATTTTATTTATTTATTTGTTGTAACATATGGCAGTGTTAAACCTTTTTTAGGCAATCAAAATTATACTTTGTTAATTCTGCGGTTTAGCTCGCAAACAAAAAACCTAAAGTTTTTGCATGCAAAGGTCGACAGTTTACCAGTTTTTATCGTTAACATTGTCGTAAACAGGTTTTACGAATTCCAATTTTTTTATTAACATGGAAGTTGAGACGTTTTTTCTGGTAAGCCTTCCTTTATCGTACTCAGTGCGATAAAAAATGCACCTATTCTCTGTCGCACTAGTGCGATAAAAATGAATCCAGTTCGATACGGACATGAATAACTTAGACGATTTTCACGAACTGTGAAACCTGTTTTGTATTTAATGTGTCAATAAAGAATATCGCTTATTTTTTGAGAATATTGCAAAATTTGTAAACGTATAGAAAATTTGGCGGCAGATGAAAGATTTGCACGTATTATTAGGTAACATCAAGGAAAATAATTAATAATGTCGAACACGTTCTAAATTTATGACACCACATCTGCTAATTTTGACTCGATGATTTTCAGATTGCCAAAAGTTATTACGCAACGTTACTATTATAAAATCTTATTTTTATATTTATATTTTATTTATTTAAAGTGTATTCCAATCCAAAGAGATTTGCCAAACATGTACGGAATTAATTTTAGTGAAAATTTTGTGGTTGTTGTCTTTCAGAAAATGCTTGCCTGGTATATTAAATTTAGTGTATGTAAAATATGCATTTTTTCTTTTTTACTTTTTTGCTGTATAGTTTTTTACATTGAACTTTTTATAAACAATTCATCTCAGAAATTAACCTCCACATATCAGGACTAATTTAAATAAGGTTTCTGTTTCTATCTTTCTCTCACTTATCTGAAGCTACAACAATGTAACCACAAATATTCAGGTCATGACATTATTATAGAAAGAAATCGCTAACCCATTAAGAACATTTTTACAGTAATTTAGATAATTTACCTTTGTCCAAAAAACCAGAGACACAAGTTTTTGCTAAAATAACAAAAACAAAATGAAAAACGAGATTCTTGATTTTTCTTTTAACCAATGTAGTTATCCTAGGGTGTATAAACTAAATCTTAGATTTTCTCTCTTGTACAGTTAAGAAATGCATACACGCAAACAATTTCTGACATTAGCACAATATTCACACAGGCATTTTTTTATAAAAATAACAAACATTAATTTATTTGAGAAACTGATAAGAACGAAAATTTTTAATAACTTTGGAAAACATATATACACTAAAAATATATTTCTAATTTGGTCATTTTACGTATAATGCATTACTTACTATTTTAATTAAAACAAAAATCAAGAAGCCAAAACTTGAACATTTGAGGGAAATTTTTGTCGTTGTTTGAATTTTCCGAACGATAAATTTTAAAACGGGACGACTCAAAGCTCGTAATTTCCAAAGACGCATGTTTTTCGGTATAAATTTTTTCAATTTACAAACAAATTTTCTTTTTACAATCAAAAATCAAAATTTTGTCAGTTTTGAAAATTTTGAGCTTCGAAAACCACTTTTTTGAGCGTTCGCGTTTTGAAATCGCATAAATTAAAACCGGTCGCGCCTATGTTTACAAACAAAGCATCAATTATGCTATTATGGCAATTTCCTAAACCAGTCGTGATAGAACACTTAGAGTTACATAAATCCACACCTCGGAAGAAATTAGTGAATTCAAGGTGAATGTCAAACGCACGCATTTAATTAAAGCAAATAGCTTTTTATCGTGACTGATCGATTACAGTGATCACACACTGAATTTAGGAAAAGCACGAAGCACTAATCCAAGAGCACGAAAAGTTTTTGTGATGCCCAAGAATTTTTCTACCCAAAAACTTAGAGACGCTTAAAAGGCAAATACCAAATCCAGGTGGAACGCACACACATGATCACTAACACTAAGTGAATTACCTATTGCAAATAATTTGCACATTTTTCAAAAGATGCACTGCTTAAAGTTTGCGAAGAAACTAAAGGCTGAAATGTGAAGATCGCTTTATATAGGTAGTGCGAAAGAGAAAGGGTTTGAGAGAAGACATTCATTCATCGAGCGGTTTTACAAGGTACATCCAAAACACAAATCGGTGCTTATGTATAAGTTTAACGAATACTTTACCAGAAAATATATGAGGCGAGTATGAGGAAGAACCTGCTTCGGTTTTATTTGGAAACATCTTATATATTCTAGTTATATAAATTTGCTTTTTTCTGCTGATACACCCAAAATACTTGTAACTGTTTATGTAACAAACACTTTTGAGGTAATCTGACCCAAATTATCGATCATATACCATCCTCACAGGCTAATTAGTATCGCTCCGATCTTGCACCACATATCAACACTTGATCTACTATTTTGATACAGTTCACACATTATTTCACAAGGTCCATTATTTCGACACAAAGTGGTCATTTATTTTACCAGTTAATGATGCAATTTTAATTATTAACGGAGCCGGACGACTCTTTATCTACAATCTCGAAGGCCAAGAAGAAAAGATCAACTTGTTCACATACCTGGAGCAGATCGTCGCTAATGACAGCAAAAAATATATATCGCTCACTCGCATCATTAAAAGAATCCACTAGAGTTGTCTCTAACCCTGGACTGGATTTAAAAAACTTAAAGCCTTGCGGCTTATTTTAGACTAAAAAATGACCGACAATGTTTAGTAAGTGCCAAAAAATATAAAACACAAACATTATCATTATTATTACTATTATTATTACAGCGATTACAAAATTCCATTTACTAGACCAAAAACAAAAGTCACACACGAATAATCGGAAAAGACGATACCAACAATGTGTTCTCTGTTTGCAGATTCCATTTAATGTTATGCAGTTTGAACTCCAATCTGATTAACATAGTGCACGCTAACTGTGTAGTCCCTGAATATGAAAGTATGCCTTGAAAGTGTTTTAGTGTTTGAATCTGCATATATAAACACTTTAGTGTAGTACAAAGTATACAATCAAAAGTAAAAAAGTTAAATCTAAGAAGCAAGAGACGACACGCATGATATTTCAAAAATAAATTAAAGCAATTATAACCCTAAATTTATGTTGGTACAGCTCTGAGGTTTCCACAATTCCTGTTTGGTATGCATGTCGGAAATGGTAAGCACCTATCATTCTCACCTCCCAGTTCAAAGCCCTACACTGCTAATAAGGGTAACTCAGAAATTTCCTGCAGACTTTAGTTCAAGGGATTAGACCCTTCGTTACCTAGAGTACTAGCGTTTCTCCGACCGACCGCTCCTCCCGACCCATCCTTCTTGCTCCAGTTTTCACTTACCCGAATAGCTCGGTTCTGCTCGAGGCGAGGTTCCGAATTTGCAACCGTGAAGTTCACGGACTGCAAGATTTGATTCACTCAAAGTTGCATCTATTTTAAACCGTCTCCACCAACGTGAAGGTAAGGTTAAGGTGTACCAGATACCATTCGAAGGTATTGCTGACCAAGCCCAGATTCTCGAAATCGAAAAATCAGGACAGTCGTCAGAGTAGGTGCGGACACAAAATAGGGGTGGTTCTCATCATTAGGGCTATAATGGAGCAAGTAGAAGTGAGGATTTGAATTGCCCGCCACCCATAAACTGTTGGTTAGAACACATGTGTCTTGAAGTCAGTTTTGCAATTTTCGACACGTATTATAACATATTTCTGTACTGACAGTTCAGGGTTCATGAATCGGTCTTGATTTTTCGTTTGACGTGCCGATTTTTGAAAAAAAAACTATAACTGTGTTTCTTTATACAAATAAGGATTCAAATTTAGTTTTTACAATACACATTAAAGATTGACAATATCAAGTAACCTAATTAAAAATATTTAAGGTTATAAATGTAGAATTCCTTGAACTCTAGTTTTTTTTGTATTACAGTCATCTGCAACCGTCCAGTTGTTGATAGTAAGTGTGTGTTGACAGTGTTAGCGAACGCCCTATTACTGACGGTAATTTCCTTCTGGTTCTTTTCTTTAGTTAAACTTTCTACCGCTAGAGAGCGCATCGATTGCTTCACCCTTGCTAGTAGCAGTTTTCTTTAAACAATTAGATCCTTGCTCGTATGCATTTCGCAACGCCCTAAACTGAATTTAGCTATTGGCACTGTACTTAACAAGCAAATTGCTCTATTATCTGCAGTGATATCACAAAAGGGTCGCGTGGCCGTCAGGTTCGCACCGGACCGGTGTCCGTATTTTCGTAAGCTGGTGAAACGAAAATCAGTGTTTTCCCGTTCGAGAAAGTCTGGGAAAATCCGGTTAAATTGTGGTGGATGCGCCGGGCGATGCACGAGTCCACAAACTTTAGTCCCGAAAGTAAACCAGAATGGGTTTTCCGGCGTCGTGGTTCATCTAGCGTATCCCTACTATCCGCAGCTCTTCCCTCTCTGTCTAGCAAAAAATTCAAACAGTTCACCACTTTCCGTGATAGAGTCGCGTGCCGCACAGTTCTGTTCAAACTGTCATTGCTAAAGCAAGTGCCGCACACGATGGCCAAAATCTGAATTCGTGTCTATCGATGGTTCGGCATGACGCTTTTTCTCGGGATTCTTTTACTTACCCTCACCACCTTTACGGGTAAGTGCATGCCACTGCACGCAAATCGCTTAAAAATCCGGCCTCCGCCAATTTAGAGCAATTGCACGATTTCATTTTAGTCGTGTGTGTGATTTATGCATCCTCCACGACCATCATTAGCTAATAACGGCGAAATAAAAATGTCATTAATAATTGTCCAGACAGTCCAATTACGCGAGAAATGTTGCACCGCAATGCTTGAGGCTCACCCGCCCAATTTGCAATCAAATCTGGCCTTTGCTGTCACGTGGAAGGAGAACGATCCGTCACCGCGCTCAAACTTTTCATTTGTTCGACTTCCGCAATTATGGACCAAATGTTTCGGAAAAATCTGCGGTCACATTTTTCTGATGAATGCTCCTGCTTGTTTGCCAAAACCAACAAAGCCTGTTCGAAATGATCAAACAAATACCGCCGAATTTAGCGGAGAATTTTTTTAATTAAGCGAGATTATCGCAGATTCGGGGAACTTTCCAGTATTTCCATCGCGTGACAAAGTAAAATGAGGGTGCGTAAACGAAACATTATTGTTATTGTGGCGGGTGGCAAGTCGACACTTAAATAAGGCCAAACAGAGAGCCGTTATTAATTTTGACAAAAACCCCAATAAGAGAATCAAATTTTACGTCAGACACGCCATTATCTCCACCCAAGTTTTAATAAAGCACAAACCGGTACAATTACTTCTAATTTTGATAAATACACCCAATGACATTGTCAACTTTTACTTGTTTACTCCGACAAAAACACCAACTCGAAAATGCCAGGATGCGTTAAACAAAAATGTCGTCAAGTTGGCGCACGAGAATGACAAAGATGGGTAAAAATCCGGCGCCAGCTATAGGACGTTAATCGCGCGTTATTTTCCTCCTCCACATTGGGGTCCAAATTTAAATTCATGTGTGTGTGTTTTTGCGCATTCTTTCTTTCTACCCACAATAGTTGCACGTTTTCGTCGCAGCTTCACCGAAAAATATCAAATAATTTAGCTTCTCTGCACCTTGCTGTGCTTAAATTTTCCCAAATGCCTCCATTGCAAGTGCAATTTAACGTAAGCTTTCCGCCGATTCCTCATAATGCGCGTAATAAAATTCCCCAGCAGCTCGTATTTGTCATTCATTCTTCGCATCTGCTTTGCATTTTACCATAAATCTCTATTCTCGAAGTTAACGCGTTTATAAATGGAATGAAATGATAAAAATTTAACGAAGACCGATGCCTCTGTCTACGGACATTATTTTATTGAAACTAATCGGGTATGGCTGAACCTTGACCTATTGTGTTATAACTAGTCTAACTAGTCTATATCAATTTTAATAAAGGTGAAAACGTTCACATTGTCGAAAATAATCGATGATGCCCGGAATTCCGTTCCGTTCAAGCTCAAATCTTCACAGATGGATTATAAAGAAGCGAGCTTTTGGCAACTTTCCATTTACACAATAAAACATTTGAAAAGGGTCAAGGCTAACGTGCGATTTCTTGTTCCAGTATTAAGCACGAATGCAATTTGTTACGCAAGCCCACCGCTTATTTCCAACAAAGCTTCTTACAGTCAAGTGTAGTGAGAGGTTGCAAGAAATTATTTCATTTTCATAATGACCGATTTATGAATAGCATGGTGACAATGAATTGCTTAATAACACATTTCGTCCGTCGAAAAAGTTCACACAGACGGAATCAATATATTTGTCCCACAAATGTTACATTTATTTCAGATAACGATGCACAGACTGCAACAGTCATTACTTTCGAACGACTATATTTCCGACTGAGACTTGACGACCCTACATCGATTATCTCATTTATTTCACCTACTAGACCACTATAATAGGCGCGGTGTCTAATCGATTATCCTTTTCACGCCAACCATAATATCGATTATCTTAAAATAACATCGATTATTATCGTATTTGTTTAACGCCTCAAGGAATGATTAGCCTTGAAAGTGAGCAACAATATCTTCACTATATATTATTTTACTGATGTGAAGATCTTATCATCGATTACTTCATTCTGCCGATTTTAGAAGCATCCGTACTAAAAATTTATCCCTAGTCTATTTGTTTTTGTATTTTATTTAAGCTCTTTTAGTTGAACACAGAATTAATGTTTCCGCTTATCTTACCATCCTATCTAGCGAAATTAATTGTTCGCTTCCAGTCGTTTACGTTCTTTTCACTCAACTTCAAAATAGTATCGATTATCTTACTTTCCACCAGTCCTATTTATATTCTATTATTTAGTTGATTATTACAGTTACAACATTTTTCAGAAGTAAGTATTTAGAAGTGACTACAGTATTTAGGATTAGTCAAACACTTGTATCGATCATCTGAGAAAGTTATCAATTATCTGATTCGTGTCTTATTGACTTACTATTAGTAAACATAAACGATGTTCTTAGGTCTGTCTATGTATTGTAATTTATCTGTGCCTCGTTTCTTCTTCTGTTTTATTTATCTTCTGCCAACGTTTGTAATTCCACGGCCAACTACCTATTCATCTTAAATTAATTATCGCTTACGTTACAAGCTTTATACTACTAGATACACACTTATTCCGTCGATTTTCACAATGACCATCTCACCGTTCCAGACAAACGCCCCTTTCCTATCGATTATCTCACTCATTTATCCCATGTTATTAAACCCGCAGTTGCTTTATTGCACCCAATTTCGTCAAAACATACTAATCGTCGATTATCTCGGCAATCGATGCCGATCGACTTTTCCCGATAACGTGCGAATTTTCGGTCAATTTCCTGGAACGGCATGGAATGGTCCGGTTTCGAGTATCAGGAAGTCACGAAAATATTGCCACACACCCACCGCAAGCTTTTCCGAGCTTTTATTTATTTTATGAGGACAAGTTCCAGCTTCTGTAGATAGAGAATTTCACGGACACATTTCCCAAGCCAAAACTAATATTTGGTCGAAACAGTAAATATTGTAATAAGTTTTGGGCGTTATCCAAACTATCGTATTATTAAGTGCGGTGGGCCTTATCGATTATCTCGTAATCGATTCTTTTCTAATTAGGGTTTTCGTAATTACGCGAATGGAGGATTTTCACCTGCAGGTTCACGTTGCGTGCAGGTGACATGTGGGAGTTTTCACTTTAAAGCTTTTTTGTGGATAATAATAGTAATGAGAATGAGATAAAAATCGATATCGAGGAAAACGGAAAAATGTATGTGTCTAGACTTAAACGAGTCACAAATCGAAAACTACCTTTGACGTCACGATCGATAAATTTTAATAAAAAATATGTTCTCGGGCTACACAAATGTAACAACAAAAACACGATAATGTCAGGTCACGACATATAAAAGTAGTTTTTATTACATATTTGATTATATACTTATTATTGTAACCTTTAACTTAAGTAGATAATGATGAGCCTAGCCAAAAACAGTCTAACTGAGATTTGGATGCTAACAAAGTTATTATTATTATTATATATTGTCATGTGGAGGCGTCGCGACGTCGATACCGTCAGTATGATGCAACCACTGCATTGGTCAACAGAAACATTCGTTTGTATTTAGTGCATAAATATTTTTATTCGAGACGTAACGATCGATAGTTTATTAAAAAGCCAGACGTTAATAAAGCTTGATGATAATATCTACCTACTGTACACGTGAATATACTTAAATATCACGATTATCGATATCTTTTCAACCTCCATTAACATTTTCCTCAATTCTAGCAGCGACCTATTAGTCAAAACCTGATGATTCTTTAATAACCTCCAAAACAAAGACAGTTATACCTTGGGGGTAATATCGTATCGATATCTCAAAACTTGATGAACTTTATGTGCTACAGATGAAAGCAAACACAAATCCCTTTGTTCGAATAACTCGGTAACCGTTTAAATCCGACGGTATCTACGTTTTACGAAATATAATTATCCTTTTTTCTTGTACACATATATAAATACGAGACTTTGTTGGGGATAAAGTCGAGGATAAAAATAAAGACAGTTACTTTATCAAGCGGTGCCTTGGCGTCTAACACGAAAGAGATGAAAAAGCGCGAATATGAATAACGATGAGCGATCGTGATCTGAATATAGAATGAATAATAACATTTAAAATAAACCTAAAATACACACACGTGCGGAAGAATTTAATTCTTGATGAAAATCGACGTTCATTTACATATTTGCATACTGCGGCAAAATAGAAACAGATGGACACTTACTAAATATTGAATAACTACAAATATAAATACATAGTTGTAGTGTATAGCATATCGTGGCAGTGTGTATACTACATGATACACGAACTGGTGTTAAATTTGTATTTATAAATTCGCATCAAAAGCAAGTGTAGGTATATTTAAGTATCCTTAATTAAAGCGTATAACATACCCCATATTAATTAAATGTCGTTAAAACTGTCCTCGGAGTGTATGGCATACTACTTAGATTGCACTAAGTAATTAATGTTCATGTAGCACAAAAATGATGTCTATTTATACCTGTAGTTGCAAAAGTAGACGTAAATTTGTAATTATATATGCGTGCATATTGTATAGCATATTGTGGTTGAGTTTAATTAAATAGTATAGAAACTGCGTTTTGTTGCGATGCGGCGTCCCGGAGGGAAATCCGGTCTCTGTCGAAAAATAAAAGCGCGCGGTAATAAAGTCTTAACTATAAAAATAAAACTTTAAACAAAATTGTATCCAAAGGTGAGGAAACTTTATACACACCTCGCAAACCTTTATCTCAACGATCTGTAAACCCGTAGAACGTAATATTTATCGTCGGGGTCTTATTTTAATTTCCTTAAAACATCAAACGCTCGAAAGAAATTGAACAAAAGCCTTTAGCATTTATTAAACATGAATGCAAGTTTCGTTTATGCGATTTTAGTCCTTATTGTGTATTCTTTACGAGCGAAAATCGAGCATGATTCCGCATTGCAGGTACTATGCTTTGGTATAGAGTTGCCAGTGGTGAATCGATAAACTATGACGTCTGCAATAAAGCGTTTGCATTAAGTATTTTCACAGTACAATTAACTCATAACGTAACTGGCATCAGTTAGTCAATTTTTACTGGTGGAAATTTAAAATCTGGAAAATAACTCCACCGCTGGGGAAAGTTTCGAACTCCTGCTAACTTCACAACTCCCATCCTGACACACGCGAATTTGATAAGAGGAAACAATGGCTTAGCGCATTCGTCATTTTGGGGTGAAGCTTAAAGTGACCTAGTTTACACTATCAGTGTATACACATAAGTCAAGATTTCCACCCGTGCTAACATGTCATAAGCGCGAGGCGCAGTCGAGTCGACGCTTCTGCACGTCGATCCGGCTAAGCGATCGCAATTATCACATTAACCGAGTTATCTTAATTGATCCGCTCGTAAAATTTGTGAGTGCGATCTAGATTCGTTATTTATAGTGTGAATATCGGATGCACAAACTTTCCTTTCTTATGTAAAGAGCGAAAATTACGAGGTTACAGCGCCTTCGTTCTGACCTTGAATAGAAAGTCATTTTACACTCGGAAATGTTGTAATGGACTTCGAAAACCTGGACGTCCTGATTTATCGCTTGTGACGCCATTGACATTTTTGCAAATGGTAACATTGTAGGTTTTAATTATTTACCATCATAATGCAATTTAATGTTGCATAAGTGTTTCGATAGAAATGTCAGAAAAAAATTATTGGTAATTTAGAGAATAAAGCGCAACCATCTGGTGATTATTTAAATCGTTTACCAGCTGTCAAGGTAAATTGACTAAGTATTGTACAAAAATATATTTCGAGTGTACGCTTGCACAATGTAATTTAGTAGCTTTTAGCACTATATAGCTCACACCTAAACCTACGAAAAGAAAAGAAGTGTAAAAAGCAGGATAAGAAATGAGACAAGTATTTACGTCTCTCAAACGAAGTGAACATGGAAATCTCCACGGCTCTGGAAAATCCACGAAACAAGCTAAAAAGGAAAGCGTTTTTAGACATTACGGAATTGTACACTATTCTATTTCCATCCAAACGTTGCCACCGTGTTACGTAAACGGATCTGCAATTTATACGAATTATTGTCTTAATTGTCTTAATTGACAAATACCACAAATAATTAAGTATATTTTTTCACACAACACTCCAGTTTGTATCGCTGCTCCAATATAGCTCCTAATTTTTCATTAAATGATCATTACTCAAACACAGCTGTCATTCTATGTCAGTCGGACTTTACATTAAATCTGCGATATATTATTCACTTGCCAATAGTTACACATCGTAAATTATCGTTATTACACGAGTATAGTCCTCTAATCTTCAATAAAGAGAATAGCACACAGCAAGCAGATCATTAGTATGATTTATTTAAAACTACAGTCAACCTATCAAAAATTTACTACAAATATTACCACAAATATTGAAAACCGTATCCTTGATATAACTAGTTTCCATAATCCTATAATGAATTCTATTATCACAATCGCCAATTTACTCGAGCAGGCGATATTAACTTTGTTTAATCAGCACACAATCGTATTCGTCTTATTGTGCCTATTGTTTTGTGGTGGCAAACTCTAACCTCACTTTTGGCTCTCTGTTTAATTAATACTACAAAAAAAGTTAAGAACACATTCAGTCCTAAAAGTACGCTTCCATAAAAATCTGCATAAGTAATGTATAGCCAGAATAAGCATTTCTTATTCGGTAGGTAGACCTTCCCCATTGATTTTCATGACTACTGAAATATACAAAGTAAATCGGTCCCTAGCTCTTAGGCTATTATTTGTTATAAGTTAGTTTACTTTTAGTTTTGCCAAATTCCTTAAGAATTTAGTTGAAACATAAATTTACTTGTATCTTAGATTGAGCCCGCCTGCAAACTCTAATCTTGGAGATCGAATTGAAAATACGGACCACCCTCGCCGATGAGGTTTGATGACTCAGTTCAGACAATACGGTTCCAATTTTTGCGTCCGCTTGTAAACATATCGGTCGAAGGTGAATCATATTGTGTATATTTCGCGCTTAACCACACGTCAAAGTGACGTCACTTTACCGTGACGTCACTTTAATCCGAAGTGGGTATCTTTCAATCGAAGCGGCTTTCAGCACATTTTTAATCCACGTGGGGCCTGAAAGGCAAACAAAAACCACCGTAATGCTCTTCAGTAATTTAGGACGGGTTCTTTCCGCTCAGTTTGTTTTTACTGGTGTGGGACTTGCAAATCTGATTGTGCTTTCCAATTTTCAAATTCTTTCGCTCACTAACCTGTTTAAATAGCTGACAGTTCTCTCGAGAAAGTTCGTAAAACATTCTTAAACAAAAAATAATCCGGGTCGAGTGAATTTCGGCGACTAATTCACTCGATAATATTTTCATAAGGAAAAATGGTGGATGCGCCGGTGCTCGTAAAAAATTCAAGAATGTGGTTTAGTTGAAGAGCGACAGAAGTTGATAAATACTGTTGTTCTGTGTTCAAGTATTAGCTTGTTGCTTGATAAGAGGACTACGAGGAGGAAGCTTCTCATTGTTTTATGACACATACTACAAATTCAAGAGGATAATTTATTATTGCAAGAGGTTTGCAACAAGGAACACCGGTTTTCATATTTTACAATAGCAGTTTAAGCACTGTTCTCACCATGAATATAAAATTATACAATAAAATATTCCAGTCAAGGTTTACGATCGCTTTAGTGTTACTTTTATGCGGAAACCTTCTCATATCGCATATTTATCACTAATTCGGTCCGAGGTACAATTTCCAAGCAGCGTAAATACGAATAGGGCTATAAACGAATTTTTCTAAGCGGAATTCGGAATTTTTGCTCGTAAAATGCACTTGTGGGGCATCTAATCACAGCCGCACACTGCACAGCACGTTTATTCAATTTTTGTTCCGTACGTCAACATGGATTCAAATCCAAATAGCATATTTGGACAGGTTATACCAGTTCTGATGTTCTGAAACCAGTTCTTGAATCGGTGAAACTGGTTTTGGGTCTGAATCCACTTAATACGGTATATACTAAATTCTTGTTTTCCAGATATCGGCCAAATTTCTGCAAATAAATCGGCAAACCCTCTTGTTATAAAAGCAGGTAATTTTTTTTCATTCTATGAGTGAAACAATTGTGCTAAATGTTTATTGCAAGCGTTTGAAATGGAATCAACAGTGACGTTTTAATAACACAGCACGGACAACTGCAACAATGACATTTTACTGGAGTATGCACGAATTATTTCCATTTGTTAAATTGATGACTTCTGTGGCTATAGTCACATCCAACGTAAATTTAACTGTAATTGTTGACACTTCCGAGGCTTACGTCTCCTTTTAGCTAATGAGAATATAATTTGGGACAATGGCATGAAACAGCGAACGCGCCACATTTGCATGGTAGAGCAATTGCATCCATGATTGCTTAAACGACCGCCTTTATAGCAGTTTTAATTAGAAGATGATAATACATACCGCTGACTTCATTACCATTAATTCCCGCGATAAGTTTCTCGATTTTTATTGAGTCTTTTCTTTCAGGAGCCATAGAAGAGGACTGCACCGATTTTCAAGGACAAACGATAGCTCATGGCCTACTATATGTCCCCGGTCCGGCGGTGTGCACGATGTGCGTTTGTTATCACTCGGAGCCTATGTGGTGTAAAGCGATTTATTGCGATCCGCCTTACGTGAGTAAAATTCTTTACTAATTTGACATTATCAGGGCAAATTCATTTGCAAACTACCCTCAAGAATTTCACAAGCAATCAATATCAATATTGGAGAAACTTTCGTTTTCGGTAATTCCCAGGGAAGACAACATTTTCTGACTTTTGACAACCATAAATGTTCGATATTTTCTCGTCGTGCTGCGTTTTATACGACGTGTCTACATTTATAAGACATTATTTATGGATGGACCTATCAATACATATATAATGCGCAATAAGGGTCAATTTGTGCGCGAAGTTGTGCGGGTTTGGGTCTTTAAGGTCACGAAGTTGGACTGCAGGGCTAAAAATGAAGATATACTTTGGGTCTACTCAGAGAAGGGCCAATTAAATAATCAGCCATTACCCGGGGTGTCTCGGGAGGTCCTGTGGGAGGTATAGAGATCGTGCCTCATGAATATAATATATAATAAAACAAGACGCCAAAGAAGCGTAGGGGATATCGAACGCAACTGCCTTTTAAACTGACTAATCGAAAGTCCACAGCTTCCATTAAATTTATACTTATTTAGTAAATGTGAAATCAATACCGCGTAATTATCCGCTTCGCACCATATATCAAAATGTACCGCAACCAAAAATACACACCCGTATTGAATTTTTTTCAATCACTATTAATTTGCAAGCCACATTCCACACTAATCAATCATTTAGAAAAAAAAGTCGTCACAGGTTCGAGTCTCAAATTCAAATTATGTAACGAAATCAAGATGAAAGTGAATAAATAACAAAAAGTAGCTGAAAAAATTCTCTAGTTGGGTCTAACATAAATGTGTCCCTCGAGGCAAATAAATTCGACAGATCGAGTAGGTAGATGCTTTTTTGTTTCGTGTTTACGTCACACCATCATCGGCCATGAATTGGTACCGAACGGATGATGTCACCGAAGCAACACCAAAAGAATGCAACAAAACTCGGGCGGTTGTCGTGTTTTTGCATTATTATGTAACAGTTCCTTGATCCGATATCTACACGTACCTTTCTATTGGTCAATTTTGAATTCCTTAAAATAAAAAAGACACTTGATGGACTTTAAAAGTAACACATCGGGGCTAGATTTGTTTATCAGAACGTTGTATATTGTATCCTAAGCACAACGTAGGTCCTCCACTTCGCGACTATTACAATTCTGTTTATGGATAGTTGTCGAATTTTTTTATTACTGTACTCCAGTAATTGACTGACTTCACTTTTTAAATGACGTTTTCCTGATTAGTATTTCCGTTTGTCACTCGTGAATACGTCAGTTCTTGTTCGGCAAATATATATTTTTAAAGAGACGGTCCGGGGAGTGCGTTTTAATTAAAAATCCATTATCGCGTACAGTGTGGGTAATTTAATCTGCCGGTCTAATTGTGATTAAGGGCGTTTAGGTGAGTGCGCCGAAGCCTTAAATCAACATCTTTCTGGCACTCATAAACGTTTTGTAAAGAAATTCCATGGTGTTCCTCTCGAGATTAATAAATTTTTTAGTAGCGCGTGCTATAGTAAACCTTCTGGGTATCCATCTGCATTTTTTATGTATTAAGTATAGTCCGTTTAATTTAGTGCTCGTGTAATAAAGTCTGTCGTTGTGTACAGCAATTTGATTTTGATGGTTTTGTTTCAGTTCTGCAAGGAATTTCGTGTGGGCGAGAGATGCTGCGAATTTGAGTGCTTAAATCCGCCGGGCGATGAGGCCTCGAAACTGCTGGAGAAGTATCGACAAAAATTCAAGATCAATTCGCAAGGGAAATGCTCAATTCTGCCAATGATGATCATTTTAATAATAGCCGGATTGATAAGGTCGTTCGTTTGAAAATGTTATCCGTACCAAAGCTTAGCAACTTAGGGTAGATTTCTATAGCTTTTTGACCAATTTACTCACGTTAGAGGTTTTCGGAATACTATTTTCTCGTTTCTTTCTTGTTTGGTTTGTCTTCCTCTGCAGGATTCTACTATTACACGATTTGTGTGTATTTTCCAAACAACTGTACTGTAGGGTAGTTCGATTATGGAAATTGGATTTTTTTCTCCAACTTTTCGCTTCTAAAGTTAAGGCGTAATATAAGGTTTGTACAAAATTTTGTTGGCCTTAGACACAGTGATTGAAAGTTTATATACTTGAAATTCTACGTAAACGTTGTTAAATGTTTAAATTTTAATTACCTTTGTATAAAGACAGATGCGGAATATTATTGGTGCAACTCTAGTTGCAATTGTCCTTGAACATTTTCCAGTGTATCTATAACATTACTAAACAGTGTCTCCCGGGCGCTTGCAACGTCCTGAGTTTTTTATTTCTGACCTTTCATGATACAGGGTATCAACAGGCTTTCTGTACATTTATATCTCTTTTTGCTAGCTAAATAGCCATTTTTTAGCGAACTGACAACCAAAGCGCCAATAATGTTGCAGTGCATCGTAAACCGATATTTTTTTAAATGCCCTGTATATTAATCAGTGCTTATTAATACTGAACGCTAAGCTATTATGTGATATTATCTACGATGCATGTTTCCAACGATAATGTATCAGTACCAACGTTGTTATCCCTGACCAAATTGTTGCAAATTTTACAATCGTTACAAAAACTCTACTTACGAAACACTTGTACTTTTCAGTTATACCAATTCGAAATAAATTATAAACATGTAGTCCTACTTTGTTATATAAACTGTTGCTAAATTAAAACTTTAAATACACTTAATAAAGATTTTTTCACTATATGTGCTGTAAGCTGTTACCCTTAACAATATACTCAACTGTTGTTATTTAACTTTACTAGTGACGGCCAAATATGTCAATTATTTATACTTAATAATTATACCTACGACATACCGTTACGTAACACATATCTTGACAAGTTAAACCAGTGTAATTTTAAATGGAATAAACACTTATTTCCCAATATGTCTATTATTAATTCCTGTACATCATTCTGTAAAAGTGGAAAACAAACAAAACGAAACCACAGCTTTGGAAACAGTATTACCCCACAAAGACAGTAGATGGCGCCACAACTCATTACCGATCCCTATAAACTGTAAAACACACCCAAACAGTTATCTATACTTATATTCCTAGGTTATATTGTATGTTTACAAAACTTAACAAGTGAAAATGGTAAAAACAAAACTAGAATTAATATTTCAACTACAAGTTTTTTGTCCTAGAAATTTCGCTTCTGTGGAGAAGCGGACTGTCCCGACTGGGTATTAGCGGAAATCTACACCCTTTCTAGGTTATCATCAGTTAAATTGAAAGTATTAGCCCAAATTGTAGTCCAAGGAACCATTAAACCACCAGTGGATGTAAGCTTCTATATAATGTACCAACGCAAATTTTAGCTCACTTTTCTTTCAGACCACTAAAGCTGAAAAACTCTTCACCGAATCCAAATTAGGTACACTAGAAGTTACTTTTTTATGACACTACTAGTGTGTTTTTTTAGACCCAGACATTGATCTTAAAACCTGCGTGGCATGTTTATCGTTTATTATAACCTCTGCTGTCCGTTTTAACTGCAACAGTAGCACTCTGCATAGTGAGTTGCAACAATTGGGGCTTCCTAGGGAGCACAGTACATCAGTGAAGAGAGTAGTTGATGATTACTGTGAAGAACTAACTAGTCATTATAGAAAACAATCATTGAGGGGTATATAATACAAATCAACAAGCTTTTATACTGTGTGAATTTGTTACAGTTAATCCCTTAGAAAAAGTCAGTACTGAAATTGATCAGTCAGTTAATTGTGTCTTATTGGATTTAACCATCAACGGACAGAATGAAAAAGTTACTATGATTCCACATACTGTGAACGTGTTGCTAGAAAATCTGAAGCAAGTGCGGGAGAAGATGGTAGAGTTAAATGAACCCATGGTATATTTATAAGTAACGTAATTAGATATGTGACCACCGTGTCACGTCAGTTGGTGAAGCACGGGTTGCATAATCGTGTAAAAGATGTTTCATTTAACTGAATTTTGCTATTTTGTATAGAAAGATATATTATAAAGATAAGTGGATTAAAACATGGAGTATGTATTATTTTGCGATTTTTTACATATGTGGTAAAGTACCTATGAAGTAAGCACTTTGTGTATATCTAACAAAATTTGGTCACAATTAAATGAGACATTCCTGTGGTGTTTTTATCATCACTTTTGGTTTATATTGGTGCAATGTATTTGTTCAATAAGATAAGTATTAAAAACGTTTGAACATATTTATTTACGAGATATATATGTAATTTATATTATTCTGAGTTTCTCATGATTCAGTTTTTTTTATAACTTCTCAAATAATGCTGGTAGTGTGTTTCAGTTTGCAATTATTGCCCTCTGGAAAGACTATAATCCGTAGTAAATTGTTGTACACATTTTGCACTATTATTTTTGGACAACTGGTAAATTGTGCTATAAATAAATTAGTGGACGCACTATTACAACAGTGTTTGTATATTTCCCTACTTTTGTAAATTCCTGTAATATCGGTAAATGTCCTACATTTTCATTTAGCTTTTCATTGATAGATGGCGTACCTTATCATTGAATGTGTATATTCAAATATCATTACATGCGATTGAAATAAAATTATCTGGTTCCATGCGACTAAAGCTTTAGAAATTGACGGAATGAAGTGGAGTTTATGATCCGTATGGCATTTCGTTCCCTTCATGTAATTCAATTAACATTTGATCGAAATCATTAATTTCAATTAAGTTAATTTAAGTTAATGGAATAGTTTGGCCCGGGTAATTAATAACTAACAAAAGATTGATACACAACGGAAGAAAGACAGTCTTTATTGAACGTGTGTAATAATGAGTCGGGTAGCGCGCGTCATTAAGAAATGAAGAGAATGAATAGAGGAATATTAAGTTTCGAACTTTTGATATGATTGTGATTTTCCATTGTGATTTGCCGTTGGTGAAGTTTGAGATAGCGTTTGTTCAAGCGAGTTAAATCATCATTAAAATGTATTTAGGAAGGTTGTGGGTTTTGGGTGTACGGTGTACACATGCCGCCAAAGGCTGTAGCAGGTAAGGACACTTTAACAATGTGAATGAGATTTTACGAAATTTAATAACTATATTATAACTGTAATTTATTACTACCTCTCATTATTATTACGAAGACTGCTCCTTTACTGCTTCCAAATGTGCTCATTGTCACTAATGAAATTGCTGAACACCTTACCCGCTTTACGACTCGATTTATTGCCTGATTCATTCATTACACGATTATTAAGAGACGTTTTAACCTTCAGCGCAGGCTAGGGGTTGATCATTTACTAAAATTGAAAAAGGTGATAAGGTCAGTGGAAATAGTTAAAAAAAAAAGTTGATTAAATGACACTATTATGTATGAATGTAAATTCATAGGTTATGTTTGATTTCCGTATCGTCATCTTCCACGGTTCTGCGAAAATATTCTTTTGTCTGAATTTCGTGGCGTTCGATCCGTTGTTTGCGTGTTTCTTTGGCTGCCGGATCTAGTATTGTTCTCTTGTGATAAAAATCTGTTTAAGGATGTTACGTTATCATGAGTGGTGAAGTTTTCGAGTTCGGAATGATGTTAGCATGTCAGTTTTAGAATTTGTGAGTCGTAACACACGGGCAGTATATCGGCGGCGGCGCAACCGCTAGATAAAATGAAAAAGTAATTTTGTTGAAGCGAATTCATGGCAAGCTTTGAACAATCGTTTTCGCATTAGCATCGACTTAGCGCTTGCCGCCACATGACCGTTTCTTGGTCCCTAAGTCAGAAAGAGCTAAGGAGCCATCATGTTCCGCACATCAGAATCAGAACACGACTACAATCGTAAATCAAACAAAATTAAATATTAAAAACGTTCAAAGTTTTCTACGCGCACTCTAAATTTAAAATGAATGTAAAGTAGATAATTCGAATTTGAGAAATTTGAACCATTCTTTTCGCAGAGGAAAAGAAATTTAATTTAATAGTGTCGACACATGTGCTTGTCGTTTCAAGATTTCCACCATTTCCATATTTCCGCACCGTCCTTGTCTAGACCGAGGGTTCCCGGATTGGATGCGTAAAAACTCTACCACTCTCGGATTATATCATTCAGATGAGCCCGATGGATTACTTGCCTTGTTACTAAAATTACGCCAGTGATGGGATTGAAAACGAAATCGAGCCCCAGCACGAGCTATCTTAAATAGCACTCACGATTTTAACAAACCCCACTCTGATCGAAATGCAAACCAATTTCGAAGACGACACAGGATTCAATTAAACCGAACCAGACCCACCTTCTTTAAATACCAACGACAACAACTTCACCACGAAAATCTCATCTTTTCGCTCTTAGGGACAATAGACGAAAGACGCGATTAGTAGATGACACACCAAATCGTAGTAAAAACGTTCCCACTACTCACGTTAACCTCATTAGTCGACGAATGATCACGGAGGATCTTTCTGAAGCTTCCAAACCCCACTCTTAGGGTTAATCAACATGTGATCAAAAATCGTCAGGAAAACTTTGAAAATCCGATTCTCTACGCAACGTATTTTACAAATCTTGGACACTGGGTGACGATGCACTTCACAGTGATCCCCATCAAGAGGATTCACTTTAAATAAAGTCAATTTTTTATAGTACGGAGGAGTGGGTACAAGATAAAATCGTTCCTACGGAACGTCCCGAGAAAAAAATATATAGTTTAGTCGTGGTCCACTATCTGTTCGTTACTGTTGAGTCATAGCAGACACTGAACCTTTCTTTTTCTACAGAACAAATCAAAATAGTCGAAAACACTTACTATAGTAGTCAGGTCACACTTATTATTAGGGACTATTTTCCAAAATGATTACCCTCTATGTAGTTGACCCAGGAAACTTTTGCTGCTTTCCAATCCAGGTCGTCACCACTTAAGTAAGCAGAAATTTTTACAGAATAGTGGATGACGCATATCAATCTTTACTCCGAGGGGACCAAAACTTTGAAAATACGTTTCTTTGAGCCATGTATTCGGCAAATATTGGACACTGGGTAGCGATATACTCTACAGTGATATCCATCACGAAAATCCATTTCAAAAAAACTCAATTTCATAGTAATGAAGAGTGGGAATAGGATGGACCTTTTCCAATTTAGGGTCCCAAGAAAAAAAATATATTTCAATTATCCTCAAATATCTATCGTGACTGTTGAGTCATAATGGACAATGAACTTTTCTTTTTGTACAAAACAAGTCAACAAGTCAGCGAAATTTTCCAGTCACTATTTAACTAGAACTTTTTTTATGCAGCGGAATCCACAACCTCTATGGGACTACTGAACTGGTCGGAATTTTGAAAATACAGTTTGTCCGCAAACGTCCACCGCGATCGGTCCGCTCTCCCTGCGCGCTATCCCTTCTCGGATGGTGTAATCTTATCTGAGTAAAATGAGAAAGGAAGAGTTAATAAAGACAAAGCAGTATCTAAAGGGTAATCGTAACAGCATGTTGACAACATGTTTCCTATTCTTAGTTTCCGCTTTATCGCGGCCCAACGTGCACGATAGTGGGAGGGTTTCGCTGTTTGCGTTTAGCAGTGCGGCCAATTGTGCGATACGTGTCAACACATGTGCTTTACATGCACTAGTCATTACATTCGCATTACACGACGATTTGGCATTATCCAACACGCGACCGGCACGCGTTCAGCCCCCACGTGACGGCTCCAGCCCCTAGGAAGAGGCGCATATCTTTGCAAATGTACAGGAAAGCGCAAAAGAAACCATGCATCCGAGGTGCAATCAGGAACTCCATATCTCTATTTTTCTCCGCGAATTACTAAATAAATTGGACGCGGTTATGATGAAGTAAATTCGCACCGACCCTTTTACGATTTTCCCTGCTTCTAAGAGCTGTCCCTTGCGGTGGAAGACCAGCTGACGCACGTATTATAACTCAAAAAACGCCTCTAATATATGGCTGTACGAAATGTGTCCACATATCTGTATTTTCATAAAATAAAAGTCCGCACATCAATTTATTGCTTCTGCTGCTGCGGATAAGTAGACATTGATCGCAATTTACTTGAAATATGTGTCGGTTGGACATTTTTCACCAAACGCAGACGAATATTCAGCTGCCTCCAGGTTGGATGTCGCGGAAGTCAGGAAAATCCGCCAGGCTTGTAAATATACCGACAACTGAAAACCGGTTTTTTGTTACACCGTCGAGGTCAAAACCGGTTGCAAGTAATGATGAGCGCAGGTTAATGACCCGTTCGTCGCGTAAAACCGGTTGCCCGGAACGCGGATACTAATAATCGGTTTATTGACGAACGAACTGCGCTTTGTGTAAGTGTTGGGTATGTTTATGTGTAACGAGTGTTTAGTTTAATATGTGGTAGTTGTTTCGGGGTACGTAATTAGAAGAATGAAGGAAATATGGCGTGAAATCAGTGGCGGCCGTAAATTTTCCGTACGTGACAAATTTAACGATGAGAAATAAGTAAGAAAGCGCAGTTAATTGTAGAGAGATAGAAAGTGGAGTGGACGTGTTAAAAGGCTCGCGACTGCAGACCTAACCAAAACAAATAGGCACTTAGCTCAGCGACCACAAACAGTTTTACGATATATGGGCAGTCGTGTCTTCCAACGCCCCGAACTCTCCCAATCTCACGAGCTGACAGTAAAAACCAAACAAGATATATTTCAAGGAGGTCACATTATAGATTCCATCCGAGTTTTTGAATTCAATTTTCGGAACCGTAATCTGCACTTGCTATTGGTCAGCAGCATTTCGAATTCAATTCTATATCTCAAGAGATAGATATCGCGCTGGCCACAGGGGTGTATGGAAATGACAGCCGACTTAGATATTCTGAAATCACAACCGATTGCCACACCTGTGGCCATCTTGCGCAGCTACATCACCGCAAATATTAACACTTCAGATATCAAATCGAACGCCCAAACCGTATAACGAATACTTTTCGATTGTTTGCCGGACAATCTCCAACTTTTCACTCTAAGCCCACGAAATTGAATCACGAATTATGCGGGGAAT